CCCCCCCCCCCCGCCGCTCCCGGGCTCCGCCTCGCGATCCCGATCCCGGTCCCGGCCCCGGGGCGAGGGCGCGCCGCGCGCTCCCGCCGCCCCCGCGCGCTCCCGCAGCAGGACAGACCCCCCCCCACACCCCGTCCGTCCGTCTGTCCAACCTCCCGGAGCAGCGGGCGCGTCCCGCCCCGCAGCCCCCTGCCCTCCGCAGCGCCGGGAATCGCCGCCGTCCATGCCCCGGGAATTCCCGTTCCCCCTGCCCAGCCCGGTGCCCCGGAGCGCTGCGGACCCCCGGGCTCGGACCCCGCTTTCCAGCCCCTCGGAGCAGCAGGAGCCCCCCACCCGCGCCCCCTCCGTCCATCCCGGGGTGCCCCATTCCCGTTCCCTGGGCAGCACCGGGGGCTCCCCAGCCCCGGGGTCCCGCTGCAGTCCCGGGGTGGGGGTCCCTCAGTGGGGGGGGGACACGGCCTCCATCCCTGTCCCCTCTCCCGGGGCTGTGGCTGTCACCCATGCGGGGCACAGGGACAGAAATAGCACTCGTGGGTTGTGGGGGGCAGTGCCACACTCCTGGGGACAGACCTGGCACCCCGGAATGGCGCAGGGGGCTGGGGACACTCCTGGGGACACTCCTGGGGACAGGGACAGCCCAGCAGCACCTCACGGGTCCCCAGTGGGGTGACCAAGAGCTGGCACCTGTCCCCCCCACCTGTTCCGCCGTCACCTGCTGCCCTGGGCACTCAGAATGAACTGGGACAGGGGGTCCTGCACAGGGGGGGACCCCCTCCCATGGGGACCCCTCACATGGGGACCCCTGACATGGGGACCCCTCACATGGGGACCCCCTGGCCGGGCAGAGCCAGGAGCAGCGGGATGGGGGCCAGGACGTGACCCCACACAGGGCAGGCTCTGTCCCCCTGTGCCCTTGGTCACCCCAGTCTGTGCCACCGAGGCTGCCACGAGGGAGGAGCCCCCACAGCGGGGGATCCCCGGTTTGGGGTCCCGCCTGCCACGGGAATGGGGACCCAGCGCGTCACTGTCACCTCAGGCCAGGCCGCCATGGGGACCTCGTCCCACAGCGCGATCCCGCATGGCCGGGACCACTCAGCTCCTCAGGCCGCGCTGCCCACGGGCCCTGAACTGGCCCCGAGCCCGCAGGACACCGGAGGGTCCCCGCAGCGCCCCGGGACGCCCGGGCCCCATGGGGGGATATATCCCATGAGGCCCTGCAGAGCGCAACTGAGGGGGGATATATCCCATGAGCCCCCGCAGAGCGTACGCGGGGGGATATATCCCATGAGCCCCCGCAGAGCGTACGCGGGGGGATATATCCCATGAGCCCCCGCAGAGCGTACGCGGGGGGATATATCCCATGATGCTCCCGCCAGGGGGACTATATCCCATCACCTCCCGCGGCCGGCGGGGGCGGTATATCCCATAGTGCCCCACGCCGCCCCCATTTCCGGGGCGGGCCGGAAGCGGCCGGGCCGGGCGGCGATGGCGGCGCGGGCCGCGCTGCTGCTGCTGCTGCTTCTCATGGCGGCGGCGGCGCCGGGCCCGGCCCAGGGCTCGCAGGGGGACCGGGAGCCGCTGTACCGGGAGTGCCTGAGCCGCTGCGAGCGGCAGAACTGCTCGGGGGCGGCGCTGCGGCACTTCCGCGCCCGGCAGCCGCTGTACATGGGCCTGACAGGTACCGCCCCCCCGCTCCCATTGGCTGACGGGCGCTGAGGCCACGCCCCCTCCGGACAGGCCGAGCCTCCTTTGGTCACGCCCCTTTGGAGCCACGCCCCCTGGCTGAGAGACTGGGAGGGACTGGGAGGGACTGGGGCTGAACTGGGAGGGACTGGGAGGGACTGGGGCTGAACTGGGAGGGACTGTGGGGCTGAACTGGGAGGGACTGGGAGGTGCTGGGGCTGAACTGGGAGGGATTGGGAGGGGCTGGGGCTGAACTGGGAGGGACTGAGGCTGAACTGGGAGGCGCTGGGTGATGCTGGGGGACACTGGGGCTGCATTAAGGGTCACTTGGCCTGTACTGGTTGTCACTGGCTCGTGCTGGTGGCTACTGGGATGGTTCTGGTCTGTACTGGGAGGTGCTGGGCTGTGAAGTGGGGTCACTGGACCATACTGGAAGGCACTGGGGCATACTGGGGGGGGTCACTGGGGTGTACTGGGGGGTCACTGGGCTTTGCCAGGACAGCTGTTGGGCCATCCTGAACTGTCTGGAGGGACACTGGGCCATACTGGGATGCACTGGCGCATACTGGGATGCACTGCCCACGCTGCCATTCCCTGCCCACGCTGCCATTCCCTGCCCACGCTGCCATTCCCTGCCCACGCTGCCATTCCCTGCCCACGCTGCCATTCCCTGCCCACACTGCCATTCCCTGCCCCACACTGCCATTCCCTGCCCACGCTGCCATTCCCGGCCCCCCGGGACGTGCCCCTGTCCCCGCAGGCTGGACGTGCCCGGCCGAGTGCCAGTACGAGTGCATGTGGCAGGCGGTGCGGCGCTACCAGCAGGGCGGCCGCGGCGTGCCGCAGTTCCACGGCAAGGTCAGCGCGGCTCTGGGGGTGGTGGGGGGTGCCCGGGGGTCCCCCCGCGCTGCTGACCCCCCCGGCCCCTCGCAGTGGCCCTTCTGGCGGTTCCTGTTCTTCCAGGAGCCCGCCTCTGCCTTGGCCTCCTTCCTGAACGGGCTGGCCAGCCTGGTGATGCTGCGGCGGTACCGCGCCGCCGTGCCGCGCGCCGCCCCCACCTACCCCACGTGCGTCGCCTTCGCCTGGGTGAGCCCCCGGCCCTGCTCTCCCTGCCTCTTCCCACCCTGTTCCTTTTGTTCCCCTCCCTTTTTTTTTTTGCCCTTTCTTTTTTTCCTTCCTCCCTTTTTTCCCCTCACTTTTTTTCCCCTCATTTTTCCCATCTTTTCCCATCATTTCTCTTCCCTTTTCCCTCCCCTTTCCCATCCTTTTTCCACCTTTTCCCTCCCTTTTTCCTTCCCTTTCCTCCTTCCCCTTCCCTTTTCCACTCTCCTTCCCTTTTCCCTCTTCCCCTTTTCCCCTATTTTCCCCTTTTTATTTTCCCCTTTCCATTTCCCCTTTTCTATTTTCTTCTTCCCATTTCCCCTTTCCTTTCCCCCTTTCCTTTTCCCCTTCCCTTTTTCCCCTTCTTTTTCCCCTTCCCATTTTCCCCTTCCCATTTTCCCCTTCCCATTTCCCCCTTCCCTTTTCCCCTTTTTTCCCCCCTTTCCTTTTCCCCTTTCCTTTTCCCCTTTCCTTTTCCCCCCCCCACAAACCCCGAATTTCCCCTGCCAGGTCTCCTTGAACGCCTGGTTCTGGTCCACGGTGTTCCACACCAGGGACACGGCGCTGACGGAGGTCGGTGCCCGCGGCGTCCCCAGCCCCGGGGGCACCGCGCCCCCTCCCCAAATCCCCCGCAGCGGGCTCACCCCCCTCCCCACAGAAGCTGGATTACTTCTGTGCCTCGGCCGTCGTCCTGCACTCGGTGTACCTGTGCTGCGTCAGGTGGGAGCGGGCGGGCTGGGGGCACTGGGACGGACTGGGACGGACTGGGATGGACTGGGCACACTGGGGGGACTGGGCAAACTGGGACACACTGGGCAAACTGGGACACACTGGGCAAACTGGGACAGACTGGGACAGGCTGGGCACACTGGGACAGACTGGGGGGCACTGGGGCAAACTGGGGGTGAACTGGGGCAAACTGGAAGGCACTGGGGCAAACTGGGGGGCACTGGGGATGGACTGGGGACAGAGTGGGAGGCACTGGGGGTGAACTCTGGAGTGCTGGGGATGGACGGGGGGCACTGGGGCAAACTGGGAGGCACTGGGGACAGGTGGGGTGCACTGAGGCAAACTGGGAGGCACTGGGAGCAGACTAGGAGGCACTGGGGCTGTCTACAGCTAGACTGGGGAGTGTACTGGGAGGCACTGGGCCATACTGGGAGGCACTGGGCCGTACTGGGAGGAGCCTGGGCCATACTGGGAGGAGCCTGGGACATACTGGGGGGACAGCCTGGGCCGTACTGGGAGGAGCCTGGGACATACTGGGGGGACCCTGACCATACTGGGAGGAGTCTGACCATACTGGGAGGAGCCTGACCATACTGGGAGGGACTGGGAGGGACTGGGGGGCACTGGGAGGGACTGGGGGGCACTGGGGCTGTGTCAGGGTCAGTCCGTGCCCTCCCCACCCCTGAGCCCCCATTTTCATGGAGTTGTGCCCAGGGGTTGGCACTGCCCTGTCCCTGAGCCCTCTGTTTTCCCAGGAATGGTGACAGAGTTTGGGCACCCTCAAGTCCCTGTGTTCCTCTGTTTCCCCGGGAATTCTGACCACACTTTGAGCACTCCCCTGTCCCTGATCCCCTCTGTTTCCTCAGGAATTCTCACAGAATTTGGGCACCTGTACTGGGGGGACCCTGACCATGCCCCTTCCCCGCAGGACGCTGGGGCTGCAGCGCCCGGCCTTAATCAGCGTCTTCAGAGCCTTCCTCCTGCTCTTCCTCGCCGGCCACATCTCCTACCTGAGCCTCGTGCGCTTCGACTACGGCTACAACCTGGTGGCCAACGCTGCTGCAGGTCAGCTGGGCCCCTGGGAGGGACTGGGGGGCACTGGGAGGGACTGGGGGGCACTGGGGCTGTGTCAGGGTCAGTCCGTGCCCTCCCCACCCCTGAGCCCCCATTTTCATGGAGTTGTGCCCAGGGGTTGGCACTGCCCTGTCCCTGAGCCCTCTGTTTTCCCAGGAATGGTGACAGAGTTTGGGCACCCTCAAGTCCCTGTGTTCCTCTGTTTCCCCGGGAATTCTGACCACACTTTGAGCACTCCCCTGTCCCTGATCCCCTCTGTTTCCTCAGGAATTCTCACAGAATTTGGGCACCCCCTGTCCCTGTGTTCCCCTGTGTCCCCAGGAATTCTCACAGAATTTGGCCACCCCCCTCTCCCTGATCCCCCCACTGTGTCCCCAGGAATTCTCACAGAATTTGGCCACCCCCTCTCCCTGATCCCCCCCCGAGTTTGGGCACTACACTCTCCTTAATCCTCACCCTGTTTCCCCAGGAGTTCTGACAGAATTTGGGCACCCCCAGTCCCTGATGCCCCCCCTGTTTCCCCAGGAGTTCTGCCCAGGCTCTGGCCACCCCCTGAGCCCACAGTGCCGTTGTTTCCTCAGGAATTCTCACAGAATTTGGGCACCCTCCTTGCCCTGAACCCTCCGCTGTTTCCCCAGGAATTCTCACAGAATTTGGGCACCCCTCTCCCTGATCTCCCCTGTTTCCCCAGGAATTCTGATTGGAGTTTGGCCACCCCCTCTCCCTGATCCCGTGTCCCCAGAAATTCTCACAGAGTTTGGGCATCCCCTCTCCCTGATCCCTGCTGTGTCCCCAGGAGTTCTGACAGGCTTTGGGCACCCTCCTCTCCCTGATGCCCCCCCTATTTCCCCAGGAATTCTCACAGAGTTTGGGCACCACACTCTCCCTGATCCTCACCCTGTGTCCCCAGCAGAGTTTGGGCATCCCCTCTCCCTGATCTCCCCTGTTTCCCCAGGAATTCTCACAGAGTTTGGCCACCCCTCTCCCTGATCCCCCCCGAGTTTGGGCACCACACTCTCCCTGATCCTCACCCTGTGTCCCCAGGAATTCTGACCGAGTTTGGCCACCCCTGTCCCTGTCCCCCCGTGCCCCCCGAGCCCTGCCGGTGCTGCGGCCGCCCCCAGCCCCGTTTCCCCCGCAGGCACGCTGACGGTGGCGTGGTGGCTGCGCTGGTGCGTGCGGCAGGGCCGGCGGCTGCCGCACGTGTGGAAATGCGCGGCCGCGGTGCTGCTGCTGCAGGCGCTGGCGCTGCTCGAGCTGCTCGACTTCCCCCCCCTGCTCTGGGTGCTGGACGCCCACGCGCTCTGGCACATCGGGACCATCCCCCTCAACGTGCTCTTCTACAGGTCAGCGACCCCCCCGAGCCAGGGAAAATGGGGGTGAGGGGCTCCCCGAGTTCCCCAGGGGGGTTCAGGGGTGCAGCGCTTCCCCCACGCGGGGTTTGGGGGGCTCTGGTGTGGTCTGGGACTCTGCTGGGGGATGCTTCTTGGAATTGGGGGGCTCGGGGTTCACGGTGGTCTGTGGGGTTCTCGGTGTCCCTCTTGGAATTGGGGTGCTCAGGAACCCTCTTGGAATTGGGGTGCTCAGGACTGTGGGGTGCTCGGGATCTCCTTCTTAGAATTGGGGTGCTCAGGATCCCCCCCTTGGAATTGGGGGCTCAGGGCTGTGGGGTTTTCAATGTCCCCCCCTTGGAATTGGGGGGCTCAGGGCTGTGGGGTTTTCAGCCTCCCCTCCTTGGAACTGGGAGATCAGGGCTATGGGGGTGCTGGGTGTCCCCCCCCTTGGAATTGGGATGCTCAGTGTCCCCTTCTTGGAATTGCGGTGCTCAGGAACCCTCTTGGAATTGGGGGGCTCAGGGTTCACTGTGGTCTGTGGGGTTCTCAGTGTCCCTCTTGGAATTGGGGGCTCGGGGCTGTGGGGTTTTCAATGTCCCCCCCTTGGAATTGGGGGGCTCAAATCTGTGGGGTGCTTGAGATCGCCCTCTTGGAACTGGGGGGTTCAGGGCTGTGGGGTTCTCAGCCTCCCCTCCTTGGGATTGGGGGGCTCAGGGCCCCCACACTTTCCCGTGGGGTGCTGGAAGTCCCAGCCTTGACATGGAGCTGTCGGGCACCCCACTGTTTGTGCTGTGACCCCTCTGTTGAAATCGGGGTGCTCAGCACCCCCTCAGTTTCCCCTGGGATGTTCTTTGTCCCTCTCTTTCCTGTGGCATGCACAGACCCCCCCTCCCCACCTTGAAATCGGGGTGCTGGAGGGACCCCGGCATTGCTGTGCTCAATGTTGGGGTGCAAGGCTCCCCTAAACCCCCCCTTGCCACCAAGCCCCCCGCTTTGTCCCCCCAGTTTCCTGATGGACGACAGCCTCTACCTCCTGAAGGCCAACTCCGACCTCTTCAAAGTGGACTAGAGCTGCTGGGGGGGGTGGGCAGAGCCCCCCGTGCCCCCCCAGAGCCCTGCCCTGTGCCAAGAGACCTCCCAGCCCCCCCTGGCCACAGCCTCCTGCCCCCCCCAGCTGCCTTCTGAGGTTTGTTTTTCTCCCCCAGACCCCCGTGCCCCCCATCTCCCTGCTGGGCACGGAGGGGTCAAGGACAGCCGAGCCCCGTCCCCAAACCCTCCCTGAGCTGGGGACCCCCGTGAGGTGACAGCAGGGGACACATGGGTGACTGGGGAGGGGTCTGTGTGCGTGCAGCCTGTATTGTCACCATCCTCTGCCTCTATTGTCCCCATCCTCTGCCACAACCTCAGCCCTTACTGTCACCATTCTCAGCCTGTATTGTCACCATCCTCTGCCACAACCTCAGCCTGTATTGTCACCATTCTCAGCCTGTATTGTCACCATCCTCTTCAATAACCTCAGCCCTTACTGACACCATCTTCTGCCACAACCTCAGCCCTTATTGTCACCATTCTCAGCCTGTATTGTCACCATCCTCAGCCTTTATTGTCCCCATCCAGCCGGCGCTGCCTCCACCCCACCGCACCCCTGGCGCTGCCGGGCTGGCTGCCATTTCCCAGGCATTTCCCATGCATTTCCCGGCCATTTCCCGGCCATTTCCCGGCCATTCCCCTCAGCTTTCCAGCGCTTTCTGCGCGTGGGCGAAGAACACCCCCTCCACATCATCCACGCCGGTGCGGAGCGCGGCGGGCATCGCGTAGGTGCGCAGCTCCCGCAGCGCGAACCCCGCGGCCGCCAGCGCCTCCCGCACGTCGGGCTCCCGCAGCGGCACCACGGGCAGCCGAGCGGGGCCCGCCAGGTAGAAGGACTCGCCCAGGGCCCCCAGCAGCACGGCGTGGCCCCCCGGGCGCAGCAGGTTGCCCACATGGGTCAGTGCCCGCACGAAGGCGGCGCGGTCGGGGCTCACGGCCTCCAGGCAGAAGGCGGAGAGCAGCGCGTCCGCCCGCGGGCGCAGCGGGGCTCCCAGCGGCTCCGGCCGGTGCACGTCGATGGGGAGGATGCGGCGGAGGCGCTGCCGGAGGCGCCGCTCCTTGTCCTGCCACGGCTCCCTGGGGAGAGGGGGGAATGGGGGAATGGGGAGGGGGTTGGCCCCGAAAATGTGGGGGTGGCATGGATCCAGGATCTACTGGGATGTGGGGATAGGGTCGGTCCAGTGTCCCTGGGGGTGTGGGGGTGGGATGGATCCAGGATCTACTGGGATGTAGGGATGGGATGGATCCAGGATCGACTGGGATGTGGGGATGAGATGGATCCAGGATCCACTGGGATGTGGGGATGGGATGGATTCAAGTTCCACTGGGATGTGGGGATAGGGTCGGTCCAGTGTCCCTGGGGGTGTGGGGATGGGATGGATTCAAGTTCCACTGGGATGTGGGGATGGGATGGATCCAGGGTCCAAGGGGATGTGGGGATGGGGTCGGTCCAGTGTCCCTGGGGGTGTGGGGATGGGATGGATCCAGATCAGACAGGGATGTGGGAATGGGGTCAATCCACACAGGGATGTGGGGATGGGGTCAGTCCAGACAGGGATGTGGGGATGGGGTGGATCCAGGATCCAAGGGGATGTGGGGATGAGGTGGATTCAGGATCCACTGGGATGTGGGGGTGGGATGGATTCAGGATCCAAGGGGATGTGGGGATGGGGTCGGTCCAGTGTCCATGGGGGTGTGGGAGTGGGATGGATCCAGACAAGGATACAGGGATGGGGTCAGTCCAGACAGGGATGTGGGGATGGGATCAATCCAGACAGGGATGTGGGGATGGGATCGATCCAGATAGGCATTTAGGGATGGGATCAATCCAGCATCCACAGGGATCTGGGGATGGGATCACTCCAGTATCAATGGGGATGTGGGGATGGGATCAATCTAGAACAGACAGGGATGTGGGGATGGGGTCAATCCAGCACACACAGGGGTGTGGGGACAGGATCCTGCGGGGCTGTGGGGTGGGATGCCCATTCCAGAACCCACAGGGACCCAGAAGCAGGATTGCACCAGGACAAACCCAACACACACAGGGACAAAGGGACAGGATCTCTGGGGGATCCACCCAGCAGCTGCAGGGATGTGGGGATGGGATCCAGGAGGGATTGACCCGAGAGCCACAGGGAGCTGGGAGCAGGATCAACTGGGAACCCACAGGCTCCCGTGGGGATCAACCCTTCATCCCCCGGCCCAGAGACAGCATTCCATGGATACCTGAGGCTGGGATCCCGCAGGGAACCCATGGGATTTGGGAACAGTGTCTGTGAGGATGTGGGGCTGTGATGCCAGGGGATTTTGGTGACGTGGTCCTGTAGGGATCCCCTCAGCATCTGTTGGAGAACGTGGCTACCATCCCCGGGATTCAGGGACATTGCTCTACAGGGATCTGCGAGGACCTGAATCTGTGATCCCGTGGATTTTGGGGACACAACCCAGCAGGGACCACCCCACCCCGGCACCCCCCTCCTCCAGGGCCCCCCCCGGCCCCCCTACCCGCGCCCCTCGATCTTGCAGACGTGCTGGATGAAGGGGCTCCAGTCGAAGGCGCCGGGCTCGCCCCGCGCCCACCGGCCCAGCTCCTCCCGGTTCACCGCCAGGTAATCGGTGGCCACGATCTCCTCGAAGTGCTCGCAGGCGCTCAGCAGTTGGTAGATGGTGGGGCCCGAGCCCACGTCGATCAACATCCGCCCTCGGATCTCACCTGAGAGGGGACAGGACATGATGGGGAGCGGGAGATCCCCACAACAATCCGGGAAAACCAGGCAGGAGCAGAGGAGCTGCCCGCGGGTGCTCCGTGCCTCAGTTTCCCCACCCCTGCCGCCTTCCTCTCACCGCTGGCGAAGGTCTCGGCCAGGCATCGCAGCTTCCAGGGCACCACGAACTCCTCGGAGGAGAAGTCGGCGCGGGGGGGGAGGTAATTGTTGCGCAGGTACGCGCGGGGGTCGAAGTGCTCGTAGCCCTCTCGGAGCGCGGCCGGGCTGCTCATGGCGAGGGGCTGCGGCTCCGGCCCCGCCGCCGCCGCTTTTTATCCCTGCCCGGCCCGGGGGGGCGGCGGGGAGCGGCCACGGCCCCGTCCATCCCCCTCGCGTCCCTGCATCCATCATCCATCCCGCATAACCCGGTTAGCGCCAGCGCCCCGGGGCCGGAGCTGATAACGGATCCCGGGCTCCGCCGCCCTCCCCGGGCTCCGGGGGTCCGGGGGTCCTGTCCCCGAGCCCCGGAGATGGTGTCCCCACACCCCGAGGTGCGGCTGTGACCCCTGTGTGCTGCCCCAGCTCAGGAGTGCGGCAGGGGATGAGGATGGAGGGGGACTGGGAGAGGGGTGAGGATGAGGAGGGTGGGAGAGGGATGAGGATGAAGAGGAACTGGGAGAAGGGTGAGGATGGAGGGGGTTTGGGAGAGGGGTGAGGATGGAGAGGGATTGGGAGAATGGAGAGGGTGGGAGAGAGATGAGGATGGAAGGGAATTGGGAGAGGGGTGAGGATGAAGAGGGTGGGAGAGGGATGAAGATGAAAAGGGATTGGGAGAGGGATGAGGATGGAGGAGAATTGGGATAGGGATGGAGGGGATTGGGAGAGGGGCAAAAATGGGATGGGGACAGGAAGGCGTTGGAATGATGTGGGGTTTGGGATGGGGATGGGAAGGGACAGGAATGGTGAGGAATGGGGGTGGGAAAAGGATTGGGATGGGATGGGGATGGAAATGTGGAGGGATTTGGGTGGAATGGGGATGAGAATGGGAAGGGATTAGAACGAGATGGGGATTGGGATGGGGATGGAAGGGATTGGATTTATGTGGGGTTTGGGATGGGGATAGAAGGGATTGGGATGGAAGGGATTGGATTTATGTGGGGTTTGGGATGGGGATGGAAGGGATTGGGATGGGCCCATGTGAGCTCTCCATCACCCCTGAGCTGAGCGTGCTGGATCTCAGCCCAGCTCTGGCAGGAGCCAGCAGCACCTCTGCCGGCTCCCAGTGCTCCCAGTGCTCCCAATGCCCCCGCTGCCCCCAGTGCTCCCAGTGTCCCCAGTGCTCCCAGTGCTCCCTGCACTCCCAGTGCTCCCAGTGCTCCCAGTGCTCCCAGTGTCCCCAATGCCCCCACTGCTCCCAGTGCTCCCAGTGCCCCCAGTGCTCCCAGTGCCCCCAGTGCTCCCTGTGCCCCCAGTACCCGCGATAGGGAGCAGGGTGGGACCCCCATTTGGGGCTGGGGGCTTTGTAAGCCCCCAAACCCCGCCCGTGCCCGGCCGCAGGGGTGATGTGCAGGGACAGGCGGCTCCCGGGAGGAAGGAGCGGGACGGGGCCGGGCTCGGGAGGGGGACAGCGCCTGGCGGGGACCCAGGGACAGCGGGATCCGGAGTGGGAACAGCTAATCTGGGCACTGCAGAACCTGGCACCGGGTGGGCGATGCGGGGGGGGGTTATATAAGCACAAAGCCCCCCCCGACCCAGATCCCCCAGTCCCATAAAACACCGCGTCCCTCCAGCTGCCGTGCCTCAGTTTCCCCGTGTGCCCCCATCCCACGCACGGTCCCTCCCCCCCTAAATCTCGCCCCCCACCCTGGTAACCCCCCCAAAAAGACGCTGCCGAGCCAAGGTAGGCGTTTTATTGCCGTACAAAGACCACCCTGGTTTGTACAACCCCACCGCAGCCCCCCGCCCCACCCAGGGTTTCAGCGTTCCTCATCCTCTCCTTCCCTTCTCTTCGCCAGGGAAACTGAGTCACGCCGGGGCTGCCGGGAGCCCCCCGAAGAGCGGGAGCCCCCCGACCCGCGGGGTCCTCATCCCCACCGGCCTCCACGACGCCCGCAGCGGGGTGGGGGTCCCAAGCGGATGGGAGCCCACCCCCACCTGCCCCCGCCTTCCTGCGCTGCCTCTTCGGGGCGGCTGAGCGGACCCAGCCCCTGTGGGTCCCCCCAGCCCCCCAACATCACCCCCCANNNCCCAACACCCCCCGGCCCCCTCGCTCAGCCCCGCTGGGCTTCGTGGGAGAGGGAGCGGGAGAGGGTGCGGGGCACCCCCGCCTTGGCACCGCGGAGGTCCGAGGGGGCGAACAGGGGCACGGGGAGGGTGCGGGCGTAGGGCAGGAGGTGCTGGGTGAGGGGCTGGCCCAGGACCCCCACCCGCAGCAGCCCCCAGGGCGAGCGCTGCTCCAGCGCCCGCACGGCCCCGCGCTGCTCCAGCGTCTCCCGGCGCTGCGCGTCCGCCTCCCGCCGGCACCACCTGGGCACGGGGCACTCGTGGGGGTGCCAGCCGGACCCTCACCCCCTGCTCTGACCCTTCGGGGTCATCCCACCCCGTCAGGACCCCCAGAGAACCCCCCCGACCCACGGGAAGCGCTGGAGAGCCGCAGATTCTCCTGGACCCTTGTGGAACCCCCGCCTCCCCCAGCCCCATAAAAATCCCCATTTCTCCTCCCAGGACCTTCCCAATCCCTCTTGGAAACCCCCCCACCACCTCCCTGGAGCTGCCCTGACCCCACAGGGACCCCTGGAAACCCCCAAAGCTCCAAGAGCCCCTGGAAACCTCCTGAGACTCCACAGGGACCCCTGGCAACCCCCAAAGCTCCAAGAGCCCCTGGAAACCTCCTGAGACTCCACAGGGACCCCTGGAAACCCCCAAAGCTCCAAGAGCCCCTGGAAACCTCCTGATTTGGGACACTCGGGGCCCAAAGACTCCCTGGAAACAGAAAAGTTTGGGACCCTCGGGCTGCCCAAATCCCCACCAGCCCCCTTGGAGTCTCCCACAAACCCCAAACCCTCATGGAAACCCCAAATTTTGGAGCCATCCCACAAACCCATGGAGCCCCATATTTTGTGACCCTTGTAGCACCTCAAAACCCCAAAATCAAAACCCCACGATTTGAGACACTTGGAGCCCCCCACAACCCCATGGAAACCCCCAATTTTGGGACCCCAGGAGCCCCTCAAAACCCTACAATGAAAACCCCACAATCTGAGACAGAGCCCCCCACAACCCCATGGAAACCCCCAATTTTGGGACCCCAGGAGCCCCTCAAAACCCTACAATGAAAACCCCACAATCTGAGACAGAGCCCCCCACAACCCCATGGAAACCCCCAATTTTGGGACCCCAGGAGCCCCTCAAAACCCTACAATGAAAACCCCACAATCTGAGACAGAGCCCCCCACAACCCCATGGAAACCCCCAATTTTGGGATCCTTGGAGCCCCTCAAAACCCCACAATTTGAGACACATGGAACCCCCCACAACCCCATGGAAACCCCATATTTTGTGACCCTTGGATCCCCTCAAAACCCCTAAATGGAGACCCCACAATCTGAGACACTCGGAGCCCCCCACAACCCCACGTTTCAGAACCCTTGGAGCCCCCCACAACCTCAATCCCCATAAAAAGCCCCCCAAAACCCTCCAGCACCCGGCGCCCCCCGTGCCCAGAGCACCCCTGGCACCCCTGGCACCCCCCTGGCCGTGCCCCTCACCCGTCCTCGGGCCGGGAGCTGAGCTCCAGGTCCAGCCACTCAGCGCTGAAGGTTTCTCTCCTGCCCACGTCCTCCTCCTGCACACGGCAGCCCAGGCGGGCCGAGAGCCCCCCCTTGGAGCCCCCCACCACGCCAGGGCCCACCATGGTGCCTCTTTCACCCCCAACAGTGCCCGCCCTGCTTTTATGGCCCCGCTGGGGCTATTTTGGGACGAGCCGCTGGCACCGAGCGCTGCCAGGGAGGGGGGGTGGCACCTCGGACACGTGTGTGGCACCCACGGGTGTGTCCCCTCCCCTTCCCGCCTCGGGGACGAGGGGCAGACCCTGCCAGCAACGTGATGGCAGCGGCGGGACCCACCCTGGCACCTGCCCAGGGCACGTCTGGCCTTTCCCTGTGTGCCCCACGGCGCTGGGGGGACACGGGCCAGCTCTGTGCCAGCTCTGTGCCACCCACGCTGCCGACCTCAGAGGGACATTGGGGTCCCCCCACCACAGGACAGGGGCTTGGGGGTGTAGGGACCCCCAAATGGGTGTTTGTAGGGCCAACAGTGGGGTGCCAGTGACACAGGGCTCATGTGGAGGTGGCTGGTGACAGAGGGGACATGGCTGGTGACAGAGGAGACGTGGCTGGTGACAGAGGGGCCGTGGCTGGTGACAGAGGGGACGTGGCTGGTGACAGCCCCCAGGTGTGGGGGTCCCACCCCAGGGGATGAACCCAGGGCTGGAGGGGCACTGGGGACAGACAGAAATGCTCCAGGTGGATGGAGCTGCCAGTGCCACCATGGGGTGGGGGACAGTGCCACCCAGGGCCAGTGCCACCCATGGCCAGTGCCACCCACAGCCAGTGGCCCAAGGAGCCTGGACACCCCCTTCAGCACCGGGGGGGGTTTCAGGGTGACCCCAACCCCACACCCCCTCCATCCACTGGGTGCCAAAAGCCACACTGGCGACACAGAGCTGCAAACAGTGCAAGGCTTTAATTCACACCCCACAGATTTGGGGAGGGGGGCTGCACCCCCAAGACCCCCCAAGGGGGGTGCAGAGAGCCCTGGGGGGGCTTTGGGTGCACAGAGCCCTGGGGGGGTTGTGTGTGCACAGAGCTGGGGGGCTGTGCAGAGCCTGGGGGGGCTGTGCAGGGCCCGGGGGGCTGCGTGTGCCCCCTCCCCAGCGCAGCCCCCGCCCTGTGCTGCTGCTGCTGCTGCTGCTGCTGTTTTTAGAGCAGCACACGGCGCTCTCAGGTAGAGGAGCCGCGGTCGCCCCCGCAGCCCCACCCCCAACACCCCCCCCCGCACACCCAAAAAGGAGCAGAGTCTCCTCTTAAGGCAAATCCCGCGCTTTGGGAAGGAGGGGGCTCGGCCAGAGCCATTGGAGGGGGTTTGGGGGGTCCCAAATGGGTGGGGGGCACAGCCCTGGGGTCACAAATTGTGCCTTCATTGCTGGTGGAGGGCACAGCCTGGCACAGGGCACAGGGACCTTGCTGGCACAGCAACCGAGTCCTCACCACGGCCACCACCCCTGTCCCCTCTTCCTCACGGAATTGGGCAGCAATCTGGGGGTGCCAGCTGAGCCCCCAACCCGTTCTTAGGTAGGGGGAGCCCTGCTCAGTCCCCAGGGAGGGCAGGGCAGGGATTTGGCACGGAACAGTCGGGTCCAGACCCCATCACTGGGAGCAACGTGGTGGGAGGAGGGGCTGAGCCCCCCTGGCCCGTAGTGGGGGGACCCCTCCTCGCCTGGGGGGGGTGCAGGGTGCTGTCCCCGTCCCCAGAGGGCAGAGAGGGCACTGGAATGTCCTCAGGGCTTGGAGCAGAGCTCGGCCACGCGCTGGCGCAGGTGGAAGGCGAACTCGAACATGGTGGCAGCCAGGCTCTGGTGGATCAGGTAGCGGGGCAGGCGGCCCTGGGGACACAGCACGGGGACACGGGGCCCTGAGGGACAGTCTGGAGCTGGGAGTGTCCCCACCCCACCCTGGGAGGCTGCAGGGACAGGGATACAGGGCTGGGGACTGTCCCCATCCCACGGGAGGTTGGTCCCATCCCACTGCAGGGTGTTCCAGGATTTGGGGCTGGGGGCTACACCCAGCCTGCCCTGGAGGGCTCCAGGGATAGAGGTGAGGGCTGGGCTGGGGGCTGTGCCCCATCCCATCCTCCCATCCCACTCGGTTCCAGGGGTGCAGGAGCCATGAATGAGGGTTGGGCTCCACCTCCATGCCACCCTGTCCCACCCCAGAGGGATCCAGAGATGCAGAAACCACAACTGAGGGCTGGAGCTGGGCTCTGCTCCATCCCTGTCCCACCCCAGGGGGATCCAGAGATGCAGAAACCACAAAGGAGGGCTGGAGCTGGGCTCTGCCCCATCCCTGTCCCACCCCAGAGGGATCCAGGGATGCAGAAACCATCAGTGAGGGCTGGAGCTGGGCTCTGCTCCATCCCTGTCCCACCCCAGGGGGATCCAGAGATGCAGAAACCGTGAATGAAGGTTGGGGCTGGGCTCTGCCCCTATCCCATCCCATCCTGTCCCACCCCATTTGGTTCCAGGGATGCAGAAGCCACGAATGAGGGCTGGAGCTGGGCTTTGCTGCATCCCTGTCCCACCCCGGGGGGATCCAGAAACCACAAATGAGGGCTGGAGCTGGGCTTTGCCCCCATCCCATCCCATCCCATCCCATCCCATCCCATCCCATCCCATCCCATCCCATCCCATCCCACCCCATCCCACCCCTGCCATGGCAGGGCCACCTCCCACTGTCCCAGGTGCTCCCAGCCCCAGTGTCCAGCCTGGCCTTGGGCACTGCCAGGGATCCAGGGGCAGCCACAGCTGCTCTGGCAATTCCAGCCCAGCCCCTCCCCACCTTCACAGGGGGAATTTATCCCAAAGATCTCATCCTAATCCTCAAGGGAGGGAATTTACCCCAAACATCTTCATCCTAATTCCATCCCATCCCATCCCATCCCATCCCATCCCATCCCATCCCATCCCATCCCATCCCATCCCATCCCACCCCAGGGATGCAGGAGCACCGCTGTGAGGAGCTGCAGCTCCCAGGTTGCTCTGATCCGGGGGAGGAGCTGCAATGTGGTTGGATTTCTCTAAAAAATCCCTGCACGACTCACCCCCCCCACCGCCTCGGCCTCGGCTCCGTGGTGGGAGATCCATGAAAAAATAATAATCCCTGGCTCTGGGGGGGAGGGAGCCGAGGCAGGGCTGGGAACTGGCACGGGGGGATGAGGGGCCAGCTGTCCCGAGGGTCAGGCAGGCACAGGACACTCTCCTCCCCCGGGACCGGGGTGCTCCAGCACAGATCTTTTCCTGGAGAGGGTTTTCCCTCGGACTCAGGGGCAGGAAAAGTTCGAGGCCAATGCTCCAGGGGCCATTTCAGTCACTTCCCGACCCAAACACAAACACGTGCGGGATCCTCCCTCCCCCAGGGATGAGCCAGGGGCTATAAATACTCGCCCAGGGCTAAGGGAAGAGCCAGGAGCTGGGTCTGGGCGCTGGGGAAGGCGCTGGCAGCACTCGGGGGTTTAAAATAGCTCGGCATTCCTTCCACGGCCAGGAAGCACAAGGACAAGGAACCTCTTTTCTTCCCACCACGGGGAGGGGGGTTTTGCTACTCTGCCAAAACCTGCCAGACCCACGGGGAGGAAAAAACACCCCTGGCACGAACAGGCTGGGCACCGGGCTCTGCTGGGCGCATCCCAAACCTTTCCCGAAGCGTCTGGGGGAGGGGAGGGGGCCGTGGGAGGGAAGGGGAGGGATGAGGAGGGGGCAGCAGCGCTGCAGCACAGCCGGGGGATGAATGGAGCCTTTGTGCTGCTGCGGCAGCGCCGTTACCACGTCAACCTTCGGCGGAGGAACGAACGGGGCCGGCCCCGCTGCCGCTGCCGCTGCCGCCCCATCCCGGACCCGGGACACCGGCAAGGACACGCAGCTGCACAAAGAGCCCCGGAGCCGGGGCGGCTGGCCCTCCCAGGGGTGGATTTTGGGTGGTTGTGGTGGTGCCAGGGGGTTTTGGAGCGGGGAGTTGCCACTCTGGAGGGTTTAGGTATAAAAGTTCCCGTGTCTCAAAGTGGTTTGGGGAAAGGAGGATTAAAAGCTCCTCTCCCCCAGCCCTGCACTCAAAGGTGAAAACCCTAAGTGAGACCTAAATAAGGAAGAGTTTCCCAAACTCCCACTGGGAAAGGAGGGGGATTTTGGAGGAGTTTAACCCCCACTTGCCAAGGCTGAGTCCCTTCAGGGCAGGGCTTGCTAAGGGGCCACTTCTGTGGCTGCTGGCATCCTGGAGCAGGGCCTGGGGATGGGACCCAGCTGCCTCCCCCAGGAACTGGCTTTTACCTTCAGATCCGTGTTGAGGATCCAGATGAAGGTGCAGACCTTGGCATTGCTGGGACACTTCAGGACGATGAATCCCCCTGGTCCATTCTCACCCCTGCGGAGGAAAGCCAAGAGGGTCAGGCTGGAGTTCTGGCTGGGATTCTCTGGAGTTCTGGCTGGGATTCTCTGTGGATGCACCACGTGGAGCTGAGCCTGGCAGCGCAGGCCAGAGCCCAGTGGGGCAGGAGCAGATGCTGGGAGCCTGGGAAGGTGTGTGCCTTGGCTCCAGGTGCACGAGCCAGCACGGCAGGGCAGCTTTCCCACAGGTGCCTTGGCAGAGCCGGTGCCAGGGCTGCCAGTGGAGCAGCAGCTCTGCCTCTGCATCGTGCCAGCTGCTCCCCACGGGAAGCTTTCCCAGGCACAACCCTGGGAGCAAACAAGAGGTCCCAGGAAGCTCTGTGTGCTCAGGACAGGCTCAGCACTTGTCACTCCAGCCCCCAGATCCTTCCCAGCACCATCTGATCTGTCTCTGAGACGGGAGCTGTGCACACACAGCCCAAATACAGATTTCCCTTCCCTCTTCAGAACACTCTATTTTTGCTGTGTGCCTTCGTTAAAGGATTTTTCCAGGCCCTGAAATCTCCAGTTCCTAAATAGACTGAGGCAGCTCCAACAGCTCTGAGATAAAATGTCAATTACTTTAACCAGATTATTGAGAAAACCGAAGTCGGAGAGCGCAGCGGCGCAGCTGGGCCCTGGCAGGAACAAGGAGTCCTTGTCTGATGAGCCCGACCCCGCTGGGATCCATCACCAGCCTGTCCCTTCAGAAGGGGAGAGGCCAAAGCCCTGCTGAGATTTTGGGAGCTGCTCCGCCCTCGTTTCATCCCTCAATGCCTCAAATTCGGCGAGCGAGCGTTTTACGAGGAGCAAAGGGCATGTGAGAGGCTCGGAGCCACAGCCAGCTGTTTACTGCCCCTCAGAAATTCCTGTTTGGGAATTAAGTGGTACATAAACAGGATGTGGGACTTGGGATGGAGTTTGTGCTGTTAACTGGGCAGCACCTCCACTCCCCTGAGCTGGGAAACGCCCCAGCACTGCTGACAGCACAGAGAGTTTCTCGAACAAAGGGAGACGAACAAGGGAAGCGAGGTTCAGCTCCACAAATAGCTCAGCTTCCTGCAAATCCTGCCAGCAAGGCAGCAGGGCTCGCAGTTAAGTGGCTCTTTGCCTTGAAGCTCTGGAGAAGTGCGTGATCCCAGCTGAAAAAAAACCAGCACCTGCCTCTCACCTGACGTACTTGGAGAGCGGAGGCTTCAGGCTGTGCGTGGTCGACATCCCTGAGGAAACGTACCTGTCTCTCCTCCTCTCGATCCGACGCACGTTCACGAAATCCCTGCGCAGAGAAAGGGCTTAAAAACACACCAGGGATGTGCAGGGGGGGCAGATCCCTCTCTCTGGACTGCTGGGAGAGGCTGTGGCAGGGTTGTGTCAACGCAGGGAGGCACAGCCAAGAGCTGATATCTGACTGAGCGAGGTTTGGAGTTCTGAGAATCCGGCCAGGAGTGTGTGGAGGAAATTTCGGGGGCTGCTCGCCCTTGGGAGCGTTACCTGCACAGCCAACCAGCCCTACCACGGTGACAGCAGCTCAGAGCATTCCCAGAGGGGTCTTCCCAAGGTTTGGGGGGCGTTTAGGGGCAGTGTGGGATGAACTGACCTTGGGGACACCACCCCGCCGGCAGCTCCGGCCGCCACGTCGTACGAGACAATCGTGTTGTCCTCAACCCGCTGCAAGATCTGGAAAAGGGCAGGGGAAATAAATCAAAAGAAGGGAGATTTGCTCAGATTGTGCCTCCAAGCCTGCACGTGCCAAGAGGACACAACCCCTCCCTCAAATCAGCACCGGGATCAGATCTTTTGGGCCGGAGCGCGACGAGCGGTGCGTGCGCGGATTCGTCTCGTGAGTTTTTGGGGGGCACAGGTGTCACCTCCAGCTCCTCTCCACGAGGCTCAAAACCCCCCCCGCCAGGCAGAGGCAGGTCTGGCTCAGCCCTGGCCCCCGTCCCTGCCCACCTCTCGGGCTCTTGGCCGGGCACAGGCGTGCAGCCGGCTGCCGCGGAGCGCGCGGAGCGCACGGATGAGCGGCGGGGATTTAACGCCTCGGTGCCTGGGATCCAGCTCGGCTCCAGCCCTGCCAGCAGCCTCTGTTGGACAGGGAAGCTCCAGCTCTCCGCTCCAAGGAGCTCCTGTGATTAAGCCATCTTTGTCCAGCACGCTCACCTGGCAAGCTGCCACTGTTCTGTTCCACAGGATCATCTTCTCGGGCTGCAGAATCACCTCCTGGTAAACCATTTCAGGGGAGCACTGCAGGAAAGCCTGAGGACAGAGCCAGAGCAGTCAGCCAGCCCCTCTGCTCCCCTTGGGGGAGGTGATTTTTTAGGGAAAACAGGGTAAAACACAAAGGACCAGTGGGAATGCAGGTGAGGGGAGGGGTGAGGCCAGCCTGGCTCCCCTGCATGCAAAGCCAGGGCTGTCACCCCTCTGTCCCAGTGCTCCCAGGAGCCTGGGGAGCACACGTGGGGTCAGGGAGGACACACAGACTTGGGAGCCACTGGGCTCTGCCTGTCTGTGTGCCCCTCTCCCACCCTCAGCAGTTCCCCATGCACCATTGCTTCGGGAAGTTGCATTTTTAACTGTTTTGTTTTTTTTTTTCCAAGCCATTCCAAGCTCCAGCACACACAGCATCCATTCCATTCCCCCCCAATCCCCACGGGAGTGGAGATCTTCAGAGGCAAACACTTAATGCAGCAAAGTGGGGACCATCCAGCTTTTGCTGGTGAACACAGAGCTGCTCCACTGGCAGCTCCTGCCAGCGAGGCAACATATGCACTGGAACAAAGAAAAGCCACGGCAGCACCGACGCTTCATTAAAGCGTGGTTCCCAGCCAAGCCACTCCAGCTTGGGAGAGGGCACAGAGCAAGGCACTTCCGAGCTGCTCTGCCCGGTGCCAGGCAGCAGCAGAGGCACACTCAGCCCTGGCCTTGCTGGCAATTAGTTCCAATTAGCCTCCTTGGTCAGATTAGTCCGAGATGCTGGGGTTGGAAGCGAGTCTTGCAGTCACCTGCTCCCGACTCTACCAGCGGAGTCTGGGGCCTTGGATATTTGCTGGGGAGTTTGTCTGCCAGCCAAGGGGTTTTCCTGGAGAGATTCCCTAGTGCTGTTCATCTGTCTCAAGCACAGGCAGTGTGTTCTGCAGCCTGACCTGTGCTGAAAGCTGAGCTGTGGCTCTTGCCCCGTGCCAAAGAGACCAAGGAATCGACCCAAGGATGTTCTTACCTTTAAAATAAAGGTCTTGCCGTGGAAAGGGATTTCAAAAGTGTAAACAACATCACCAAAGTCCTGTGCAAGAGATGAGAAAGATCAGTAAAAGGGATTGTTTCTATTTAGGGTGAAGCTTGCTAAAACTCTGAGGTTCCTGTCACCCCCTGCCCCCCACACCAGGCAGCGACCTCAGCACAGAAACCGCCCCGGGCACATTTCAGTTGGCCATGCCTACATTTCCATCAACAAAACAATATCCAGAGAGGCAGCAGGGATGAGACAGAAAAAGAATCCGCCCCGTGCCAGGCTGCAAACCCCACGTCAAGGTCACATTCTCTTTGTAGCAGCACTGGGGTGCAAAAGGGGTTTGCTGCCAGAGCTGCTGGTGTTACCTACGGCTGAGAGGAGCCTCCCCGGAGGGGCTGGGGATGGGCAGATGAAAACCTTTCATCGTTAGCCCTGTGTTAAACTCTGATTAGTCTATTTAAATCCATCCCCCTTTGGAAAAAGAAAACAATCTGCCCAGCTAGTTTGGCATCAGACAAAGGATCACTTGACAGGGGAATTTGAAACACCAGATGAGACAGCAGTTTGCAGGATTCGCACCCCCCAGTTGTGTTTGGACCTTGTGAAGCAAGGTTGAGTTTGGGGGGCAAATCCTTCCTCTTTCTCTCCACTCTTCAGAGAGAAAAAAGAGCTCTGTGCACCCCAGAAAAGGCTGGAGTAGGCAGAGCCAAATCCCAAATTTACACCCCAGCTTCCAGGTGCTGGGGAAAGGGGGACACCAGCAGCTTTGGGGGTGGGAAGAGCAGTTGGTGCCCCACATGGGTCAAAACTCCAGTTTGGGCCCCCAGCAGGCTCAAAGGCACCTGGCCATGGAGCAAGGGCAGGGCTGGAGCTGTGGGACCAACATTCCCATGGCTCTGCATCCCAAAGGTGAGCCGGCCACTCCTGCCCACCCTCCGGACAGAGGGAGGTGGGAAGGGCCCTCTCCTGTCAAACTGCAAGGCAATTAAAGGTCTAATTAAATAAGAGGGGATTTTACATTTAACTGAACTGGAATAGATTCCTAATTCAATCAGGTAATTGTAACGCTTGTTAATTTTTCATGGCGCAAGGAGGTTTCCAAAGCCTCGTTTGTCCCGGTTTTTGCTAAGCCATCCATGCCCTCTGCCAGCTGGGGAGGAAAAACCACACTTGCATTGCTTTTCTCGAACTTCCAGTTCTCCTCCTGAGCGAGGATTTGGTCCACAACCTCCATGGCCTCTTTGCCTTGTCGGACATACTCCTTTTCCTGGGCAAGAAGGGAGGATTTCATTAGCTGGGCGTGCAGGAAGCTCCAGGAGTGTGTGTGAGGCTGCTCCCCCCCCTCCCCGGGCTGGCAGAGGGAAAGGGGATCAGAAATCTCTTAATTTGGGTCACAGAGGCCTCATTTTGGAGCTCCAAGTCACGCTCCCCACCCTGGCTTGGATCCACACACCAGCTGCTCCCCATGGCTCCTGCCTTGCAGGAGGTTTCCAGCAGGCAAAGGGCTCTGGGATGTGCAGCTTCCTTCCTGGAGGAGCCAGAACTGGGGCTGAACTGGAGCAGGATCTCTGGAAAAGGGCACAAAACCTGTGCCCAGCCAGGTTTTGGGGAGGTCAAGGGTCACCCATCAAGCCACAGGGGACAGGTGAGGTGATGCCCATCCCAGAATGTGACGGAGCAGGGATGGAAGGGGGAAGGGGAAGGGACAGGCAGGAGCAGAGCCAGAACACATCCCTGTGAGATGCTGCAGGGAAGAGCACGCAGCCCTGGGATAAAGCTGGGGGGCTCAGATGACCCCTCCTGGGTCAGGGCACAGAGAGGGCTCAGCCACACATCCCCAGAGCTGAGGGGTCTGGAATGAGGGGGCAGCAGAACCTGATGGGAGCACAAGACTGGGGAGACCCCCACAGCCCCAGATCAGCTGGAGCTGAGGGCAGGGCCAGGCTCTGTTTACCTGAGTTGTCAAGGCCTTCCTCCCCACACCTTCCTCATCAGACTCGTTGTCTGAGCCTATGGGGAAGCACCAATTAACTCACAGTTAATGAACACCCCACAGGTACCACCTCCCTCCCTTCTCGTGGGGCACAGGGTCTGATCCTTGTCCCGCATCCAGCAGGAAGGGCTCTCAGTGAGGATGACTCCCTGTCTCCCTGAACACCTGCTGGGCTCTCCAGAGGGCTGAGCTCATCCTGGCTGTCAGCTGTACCAGGAACAGTGTTCCAGAGGGCTGAGCTCATCCCAGGTGTCAGCTACACTGGAAAAACTGCTCTGGAGAACTGGGCTCATCCTGGGTGTCGGCTACACTGGGACAACTATTCCAGAGGGCTGAGCTCATCCCTGTGTCAGCTACACTGGGACAACTGCTCCAGAGAGCTGGGCTCATCCTGGGTGTCAGCTACACTGGGAAAAGTGTTCCAGAGAGCTGGGGTTGTCCTGGGTGTCAGCTACCCTGGGAAAAGTGTTCCAGAGAGGTGGGCTCGTCCTGGGTGTCAGCTACACCAGGAAAAGTGTTCCAGGGGGCTGAGCTTGTTCTGGGTGTCAGTTAAATCAGGAAAAGTGTTCCAGAGAGCTGGGCTCATCCTGGGTGTCAGCTACACTGGGAAAAGTGTTCCAGGGGGCTGAGCTTGTTCTGGGTGTCAGTTAAATCAGGAAAAGTGTTCCAGAGAGCTGGGCTCATCCTGGGTGTCAGCTACCCCAGGAAAAGTGTTCCAGAGAGCTGGGCTCATCCTGGGTGTCAGCTACACCAGGAAAAGTGTTTCAGGGGGCTGAGCTTGTTCTGGGTGTCAGCTACACTGGGAAAAGTGTTCCAGAGAGCTGGGCTTGTCCTGGGTGTCAGCTACACTGGGAAAAGTGTTCCAGAGAGATGGGCTCATCCTGGGTGTCAGCTACACTGGGAAAAGTGTTCCAGGGGGCTGAGCTTGTTCTGGGTGTCAGTTAAATCAGGAAAAGTGCTCCAGAGAGCTGGGCTCGTCCTGGGTGTCAGCTACCCTGGGAAAAGTGTTCCAGAGAGGTGGGCTCGTCCTGGGTGTCAGCTACCCTGGGAAAAGTGTTCCAGAGAGGTGGGCTCGTCCTGGGTGTCAGCTACCCTGGGAAAAGTGTTCCAGAGAGGTGGGCTCGTCCTGGGTGTCAGCTACCCTGGGAAAAGTGTTCCAGAGAGGTGGGCTCGTCCTGGGTGTCAGCTACCCTGGGAAAAGTGTTCCAGAGAGGTGGGCTCGTCCTGGGTGTCAGCTACACTGGGACAACTGCTCCAGAGAGCTGGGCTCATTGTGGGTGCCAGCCACACTGGGACCACTGCTCTGGAGGACTGGGCTCATCCCAGGTGTCAGCTACACCAGGACAATCCAGCTGAGATGTCCCCACTCCCACGCCAGGAGCTCTCCAGTGCCACCACGTGCCACCAGCCCTTATTCCCACCCCCGTGCCCTCACCCCAGGGCAGCATTTTCCAAGCACACAGCTCAGAGCATTTAATCCCAAGCCCACACAAGGCTCCAGCTCCCCAGGCTGGCAGGGTTGAGGGCAGCACCAATATAAAGGTGTCATGTGGAGGGTGTGGCAGTGCCACCCCTGCCCAGGTGCAGGCACAGAGAGGGGAGAGGGGACCCTTTTCCAGTGTCAGGCTCTGCCCAGGCTGGGATAACGAGGCAGGGCTCTGGACAGAGATGATGGAGGTGAGGAATTCCATGGTGGGATGAGCATGGGGAGTGAGGTGATGGCACAGGTGACCTTACCTGCAAAGGACTCGGGTGGGGAGTAGAACTGTCCCTCGGAGAGGGCTCGGGGGTACAGCAGTGGCCTCGAGGCTGCAGCCTGGGCTGCCAGGAACCCTGGGAATGGGAGCACAAGGATTTGACACCTGGCAGGCTGTGGGACCCCAGCCCTGCCAAAATAACCCTCTCTTGTTTTTCCTGTGTCTTTTCCCACTGACAGCAGCCAGCCTCAGCTCCTGTTGCCTCATCTTTTGTCTGAGATGTTTTATCTGCCCCGGAGATCAATGGGCTCTTCTGCCTGTCAAATAATCCAAAGGCGATTAAGCATCTAATTAAATAAGAGCTTCCCCTGGAAGCAATTTGGAACCTGAGCCTAATCCAATAGAGGCATTAAACACTTGATCATTTTTCAATTTAAAGCCTCCTTGCAAGACCCAAACATCCTCTGGTGCTTTCCAGTCAGAGCATTTCTGATTGAGCCCTGCCTGACAAATGCCCCTCTTAGTTTGGTGCCACTTCCCAGACAGTGACTCCTGGGAGAGGGACAAAGCAGTCCAGCTCCCTAGAAGGACCCTGGAAGTTAGAGGGTGATGTGTGAAGCATGAGGTCAGCCCCAATCCCTGCTCAGTGTGACCTCAGAGACCACAGGCTGCAGAATTTCACAGCCCATAATTCACCCCGTGCCACAGAATGTGTCTGTGACTCCAGCAGCTCCCCTGGAAAGGGCTCCAGCCAGATCCAAACACAGATATCAGGGACAGGGAGTCCAACACTCTGCCTGGCATTTGCCTCCCTGTTTCCAAACACTTTCTCCCCAGCAGAGCTGAGCTCTGTCTCCAGCACGTCTGGCTGCAGATCCAGCCATTGGGAAATCTGGCACATTTTTCTCTCCTCTGTTAAAAGGTGCTCTTTATAATTTGGTGTTTTCTTCCCCTGAAGGGACTTGTTGACCATAACAGAACTGAGTCAGGCACTTCCCATCCCAGCCAGCCTGGAGATCTCTTTCCCAGAAATGTCAGATCAAGGTGCTGCCAGAACAGGCCTGGCTGGATCTGTCCAACTCCTACCAGAGAGGAGCAAAAATACTCACATCGTTCCTCTTCTGCTTCCTGAGTTAGCACTTTAAAATCCAGGAACCAGGTCTCCAGCCAAGCAATGACAAACGAGACGATGGGAAGTAAATACCCAAAAGCTCCTTTGGTCAGAAGCTGTGTGGAAAGAAGCAGAAACCCCAGGGAATGACCCAAACAGGGAATAAAACAACACCAACAAATCACAAAGCGACTTCCTGCGAGCTCAGGCAAACCAACCTCGGAGAGGATGACCTTGACAATCAGGAAGGCACTGGATACCAGTGTAGTGACCTGAAAAAATAAGTGGACAGAGCTCAGATCCCTGAGAAGGCCAGGAGGGGAGGGAAAACCCCCCGGAGGAAAGGCTGGAGTGGCTCCTTACCGCGATGACCCACCAGTGGCGCAGGCGGACGACGGCGTAGCCCAGGAGCAGCACCACGAATCGAAACAGAGCCAAGAGCTGCAAGAGCAAACACCCAGCAGCACCAGTCACTGCCCCTGCACCCCTGCCAGCTGCTGGGAGGGCAGGGACAGCTGCCAGCTCCTGGGGAACAGATGGGTCAAGGCTGCACCAGGAGGATTCACCGAGGAGAGCCCAGACCCTGCTGGTCCCACTGAGCCCCAGGGCTCTGCAGGAGGCTGAGATACTCACAAAGATGTCAAAGAAGGAGGTCTTGAATTTGTAGTTGATGATTTCATCCTTCAGGTTCTCCTTGATGCCCACCTTGGTCTGAGGGAGACAGGGAAGCAGGAAGCTGTTGAATGCACTGATAAGAAATTCATGGCAGGAGGAGCCAAGCAGTGCCCGGGGTTGTGGCCAGGTCAGGGAATGCACCTGGAGCAGAAATGGTCCCACAGGCCCAGTGTGGGCTCCTCTGCCAGCACAGGACCAGGGAGGATCCGATGGCACTTTTCCTGCCTGGATTCACACCACATTTCCCCCTGGAAACATGGATTCTCACCCAGGACCATGGGTGGGGCAGGAGGGACATTAAACACCTTTAGGTGGGGATTTCCAACACCCAAATCCTTGGCTCAGCACAGCCAGTGCCAGCAGCTCCTCACAGCCTGGAGCTCCTGCATGGCCCTGCCACTGCTGCCCACCTCATCCAGGTGGCAGATCCCAGAGGAATGGCAGGAGACATGGGAAAAATGGAAAAAACCACAGGAAAAATGCTCCTCAGGAACCTTCACTAACATCTTCCTGTGGGGGCTGTCAGGGCCACTGAGGACCTGGGGGGATTTAAAGATCCTCCTCATGCAAAGCACTGAGGGAGTCCCTTCTCCCTCCAGCTGCCTTCCCACAGCTCACAGCAGTGCTCCAGGAAATCTGATGGAAGAAGGGAACCAGCAGGATCAAACTGGCAAAGGGCAAGAGGGATGAGAGGGGGATGCACAGCCCAGGCTGCAGTGGAATCTGAGAGAGGCAAAAACACTCTGGGATTGACAGGAGCGTGGAAAAAAGCTCATCCTGAGTTAATCCAGGCTCTGACAGCCCTGGTTCTTGGCCACCATAAATCCTGGGAGGCTGGAATGGCTGTCTGTGAGGAAGTGGAGGGCTCAGGTAACTGGAACAAATGCTTCACCTTTAGGCTATGGCTCTGGATGGAGCCCAGCTGGCTGGGAGCTGGCACAGCCAGCAGCTGGTGCATCTCAGGCCAGTCCTTGGCAGCCAGGGTGTCCTGGCACTCCAAGGGCAGCCACTGGGAAAGGATCCCTGTGGGTCAGGGCTCTGGCTTCAAACCCAGCAAGAGGATTTGAAAATCCTCAAAAAGAGGGGGGTGAAGCTGGGCTCTGCCTCCAGCTGACCTGTGGCCATGGGACTCAGGCCAGCTTGGCTGAGTGGCCACTGAGAGCCTCTTCCCCCCCTCTGTGGCTCCCTGGGATGCTGCAGGAAGGAGGAAACAGGGAAAGCTTTGAGTGATGTTTTTTGGGGGTGTTCCTGGTGGATGGGCTGGTGGGTGCCAGTCCCTGGCACTCCAAGAGAGTGGCCACTCAGGCCAGCTTGGCTGAGTGGCCACCAAAAGCCTCTTCCCCCCCTCTGTGGCTCCCTGGGATGCTGCAGGAAGGAGGAGACACAAAAAAAAAGCTTTGGGTGATGTTTTTTGGGGGTGTTTTTGGTGGATGGGCTGTGAGGAAGGAGTTGGTGGGTGCCAATCCCTGGCAGAGGGGTGTCCTGGCACTCCCAAGGGCCACTGGGATTGGGAAGGGATCCCTCCCAGTTTGGGATGGGGTTTAATACACAACAAAGGGGTAAAAAGAGGGGGGTGAGGCTGGGCTGTGCCTCCAGCTGACCTGTGGCCACTGGACTTGGCTGAGTGGCCACCAGGAGCCTCATCCCCACAGCCTGACACAGCCACGGGATGCTGCAGGAAGGGTGAGACACAGGGAGAGCTTTTGGGGGGTGTTTTCAGCTTAAACACAGGCAGATGAACCACCTGAGGCATCTCCCTGGCTCTGAGAGCACCCAGCCTGCACAATTACAGTTTGCTTTTAACGAGGGGCAATTTGCTGGGCTTATCTCACAGAGAAGGAAACGGTAGGATAAAAAAAAAAAAAAGAGAGAAAAAAAAGGGAAAAAAAAAGGCATTAGTCATGATATCAAACCGTTTCTCTTCATAACCAGGCAAATAAGCTGCTCTAATGGCTTTAAATATGCAGCATCTCAGCTCGGGGCCCAAATATCAGCACTTAGTCACTCATTAATGGCTACCTGCACGACCCACGCTCTGCATCACCCTGGTGACCGAGCCAGGATTATCTCCCGGGGGCTGGAATTTGGGATTCCAGCAGCTCTCCAGGGTGAGGACCGGGAGGAGGGCAGGGGGCTGGGGTCCAAAGTGGGCGGGCAGGACACCGTGGGCACGGCTGGAATGCTGGAATGCTGGCTGGGAAAGGGTTTTTCCTAAGGGGGGTGGGGAGCAGGGGGCTCCGGGCAGGGTGAGGAGCTGCTGGCCTGGACAGTTTAGTTACAGACACCCAGAGATAAGGAGAGCAGAGATAAGAGCTGCTGAGGGAGCAGCAGGATCCAGCGCTGATAAATGCAGGGTCTATCTGCTCATCTCTGCTCCCGGTGTTCCTGGGGAGGACACGGAGTACCTGAAACCAGCCAGGGCCGGTTCAGGGAAAATCAAAACAAAATATAGCCCAGGGAGGGATTTGGACTTGGTGGGACTGAGGTAAATAAACTGGATTTTCCCTGTTGTTGCAACACAGAGCAAACACAGCAGTTTGTGAGTTGCTTTGGAGAGAAGCAAACCACTCACATCCCCCTCAACAATCCCCTGGGAAGTGGAGCAGCACCTCCAGCTTCCCAAAGCTGAGATCAGCAGCAGAATTTTGGGATCAAAGCCCCTGGGGGATCCTCCCCTGCTCCTCTGATGCTCTGAAAACACGGCAGCAGCAAACCCAGGGGAGCAGGAGGGGAATTTGGCTCAACTTGGCGGTTCCAGAGGCCCTGGATCTTGTTACAGCACAACAAAGGGAGGTGTTAACAACCCTGCACAGCCCCGACAAAGCCCCGGGGCAGGAAACGAGCTGGACTTTAGTTGATATTACAGAACAGCGCTGGGAACAGCAAACAAAGATCTGTCCCAGGAGTGCTGGAACAGAGCAATTAACGCAGGGAACCGAGTTGAAAGAGGGGCAAAGATTCCCGGGTTTGCTTCCTCCGACTCACATTGAGCTCGATGATCCACAGCAGGGAGATGAAGAGCAGGTCGAAGGTGACGAAGAGGCAGAAGGTTCTCCTCACATCCGAGATGGCTTTTCTCTTCTCCGGGGAGAGGAAGTACGGGGAGAAGCCCTGGCTCTGCGAGAGGGACGAGCTGATGGAGGCGATGGCGGGCAGGCTGCGCTCCAGGTCGTGCTGCAGCTCCGGGGGCTTGCTCATCCTCCGGGGACATCGGCCACCAGGGCAGCGCCACCTGCGGGGACACACCGGGGACCCTCAGGGCTTGCCACACCCCTGGTGTGTCCTGAGAATGCCAGGAGCAAATCAGATCCCGGCAGAAATCATCCCTGGGAGGGTGGCACAGGTGCCCAGAGGAGCTGTGGCTGTCCCTGGGTCACTGGAGTGTCCAGGTCGGATGGAGCTTGGAGCACCTTCCTCAGTGGAAGGTGTCCCTGCCATGGCAGGGGTGGGACTGGATGGGTTTTAATATTAATTTATATTAAAGAATATCAATTGCCATGCTTTAATGCCATGGCAGTAGGAAAAGGGGCTCCAAAGCCCATGGAGATACCAAGGTACCACAGAAAGGAGCTGCAAACCCCATGGAAGCATTGTGGAAGAAGCAAAAAGGGGTCCTAAACCCCATGGAGACACTGTGGACACAGGACAAGGGGTCTGAGGATGTTTTGGGAGCACTCCCTGACATCATGGAAGGATTCCTCTGCAGGGAAGGCACAGCCTCGGAGCTGGGCATGCCACTGGGACTGATCCCAGCCTGCACAGCCGGGGAAGAACCTGGGGCTGGGCCTGGCTGGGCCAGGCACAGCAGCAGGGAAGGAGCTGCTCTGTGTTCCAGGGGCAGGGAAGGAGCTGCTCTGTGCCCCCCAGGGCAGGGAAGGAGCTGCTCCATGTTCCAGGGACAAGGAAGGAGCTGGTCTGTGTCCCAGTGTAAGGGAAGGAGCTGTTCCATCTCCCAGGAGCAGGGAAGGAGCTGCTCCATGTTCCAGGGGCAGAGAGGCTGCAGAGAAGAAGCTGCTTCATGTTCCAGAGGCAGGGAAGGAGCTGCTCCATGTCCCAGTGCTAAGGAAGGAGCTGCCCCGTGTTCCAGGGACAAGGAAGGAGCTGATCTGTGTCTCAATGTTAGGAAAGGAGCTGCTCCCTGTCCCAGGAGCAGCTCCATGTTCCCATGTTAGGGAAGAAGCTGCTCCATGTCCTAGGGGCAGGAAAAGAGATGCTCCACGTCCCAGGAGCTGCCCCATGTCCCCATGCTAAGGAAGGAGCTGCTCCATGTTCCAGGGACAGAGAAGGAGCTGCCCCTGTGTCAAGGAAGGAGCTGCTCCATGTCCCTGTGTCAGGAAGGAGCTGCCCCGTGTTCCAGGGAGAGCAGGGAAGGAGCTGCTCCATGTCCCCGTGTCAGGAAGGAGCTGCCCCGTGTCCCAGGAGCAGGGAAGGAGCTGCCCCATGTCCCCGGAGCTGCCCCGTGTCCGGAAGGAGCTGCCCCGTGTCCGGAAGGAGCTGCCCCGTGTCCCCATGTCAGGAAGAAGAGATGCTCCACGTCCCAGGAGCTGCCCCATGTCCCCATGCTAAGGAAGGAGCTGCTCCATGTTCCAGGGACAGAGAAGGAGCTGCCCCTGTGTCAAGGAAGGAGCTGCTCCATGTCCCAGGGATGGAGCTGCCCTGTGTCCCAGGGAGAGCAGGGAAGGAGCTGCTCCATGTCCCCGTGTTAAGGAAGGAGCTGCTCCAAGTTCCAGGGACAGAAAAGGAGCTGCCTCATGTCAGGAAGAAGCTGCCCCGTGTCCCCATGTCAGGAAGGAGTTGTCCCCATGTCCCAGGAGTTGTCCCATGTCCCAGGAGCTGCCTCGTGTCCCCGTGTCAGGAAGGAGCTGCTCCATGTCCCCATGTCAGGAAGGAGTTGTCCCCATGTCCCAGGAATTGTCCCATGTCCCCGGAGCTGCCCCGTGTCCCAGCCCCGCCTGGCAGTGCCGGGCACACCACCCCAGCACGGCTGAGGTGTTGGGAGGCCGGGGCTGTTTTCCTGCAGCCGTGCCAACCATTGTGTTGGGATTCTTCCTCTCCGTCAGAGCAGCACAAGGAGGCCCCTGTGGGGAGGGAGGGTGACACGCCGGGGACAAACACGGAACGAGCATCCCAGAACAGGTCGGGCCAGGGATCTGCCAGCCCCGGTGACCTCCCAGTCACCCAGGGCAAGGCCACAGCCACAAACTCCTTCCTGCTAAATCCTCCTGCTCAAGGATGTTTTGGCTCCCAAAAAAAAAAATCTCCCTGGATTGCTGGTGGTGTGAGATCCCAGGGAGGTTTGAAATGCCACTGGTGACACCCAGCAGTGCCCACAGAAAAAGGTCCCAGGGCTGTGCCCAGATCTGTGGGAAATCCCAAAGGATGTGAAGCCAGCCAGCAGCACCTGCAGGAGCCGAGCACAGCCCGATTTGGGGCAATTTGGGGCAGTTTGGGGCAGTTTGGATCCCTGAGCCGGCGGTTTTTGCATCCCACCCCCGGCAAGCTCTGGGGCTGGGAAGGGAACAAAGCTGGAATCCTTGTCACTTCGGATCAGCCCCTCGGCACGCCGGGCCCGGCTGGAAGTGACAAAAGTTAAGGACATCTGTGAGGGATAAATAATAAATCCCCCCTGGCCGGGGCTGCCGCCGCCTCCTCCTCCTCTCCGACAGCACTTTGCACTTAGGCAGCCCCGTCCCGACTTTCACAGCGCTTCAAAATCACCCGCAGAAACTCCAGGGATGCCAAAAGGGGTCACCGTGGGGTGGTGGGACATGGCAGGACACGGGGACACAGCACCCCCGCCTTGCCGAGGAGGTTTGGGACACACAGATCCCTCCTAAAGCATCAAATTCCCGAGGGAAAACACAAATTGTGGGGCAGAGCAGGAATGTTTGGACCCCAGAGAAGCCCCCCCTGCTCTGGAGCTGCTCCTGCGGCAGCTGAGAGCTCGGAGCAGGGGCTGGAGGAACGTGGCTGCTCTGGGTGACACATGAATTATTGAGCTCTGCTCCATTTTGCATTCCAGCATCCTCCACGTCCCCACCCCGCAGCCCCCGAGGGAGGGCTCAGCAGGGAATGAGGGATGGGGCCAGGGGGAAAAGCCCCAAGCTGTGCCAGGGTGGGCATCAGGGTGGGCATCAGGGGGATTTATTCACCAAAGGACAAGCAGGGTTTGGGAGGTGTTGGTGGGGCTGTGAAAAATGGTGTGGATGTGGCACTTGGGGACACGGGTTAGGGGTGACACGGCTGTGCACGGCAGCCACGGCAGTGTTAAGGATCTTGGAGGGCTTTTCCAGCCCCAAGGATTCCAGGATTCCATCCCAGAGAGGGGCAAACACTGCTGGAGGGCACTGTGGGTGACAGATCACAGCCTGGGGGACATTGTGTGAGGCAGATCACAGCCTGGGGGACACCCTGAGTGACACATCCCAGCCTGGGGGACACCCCAAGTGACAGATCACAGCCTGGGGGACACCCCAAGTGACAGATCCCAGCCTGGGGGACACCCCAAGTGACAGATCACAGCCTGGGGGACACCCCAAGTGACACATCACAGCCTGGGGGACACCCTGAGTGACACATCACAGCCCAGGGGACATTCTGAGTGACAGATCACACCCAGGGGACACCCCAGGTGACAGATCTCAGCCCAAGGGACACTCCAGGAACCCTTCGGGGCTTCTCTGACTTGAAAAAAGGGGATTTTGAGATTTTTGGGGAAGGATTTTTGTCAGGGAAACCTCCCAGTTTGGGGATTAGGAGGTGACAGAGCTGCAGGGACGAGGGTGACACCACACCCCACAGATCCCAGCAGGAGCAAACACGGACACGGTGAAATCCTGATCCAGCATTCAGCACCAAGAGCCAGCAAAGCCCCACCAGCCCAGAACCCCATCAGCCCAAAACCCCACCAGTGCAGTGCCAGCACCCCAAAACCTCATCATCCCAGTGCCACCTTCATCCCAGTGCCACCACCCCAAAAACCCATCAGTGCAGTGCCACCACAGCCCAGTGCCACCACCATTAACCCAGTGCCACCACCCCAAAACCCTGCCAGCCCAATGCCAGCACCCCAAAACCTCATCAGTGCGGTGCCACCACCCCAAAACCCTGCCAGCCCAATGCCAGCACCCCAAAACCTCATCAGTGCGGTGCCACCACCCCAAAACCCTGCCAGCCCAGTGCCACAGTTCAGTGCCACCACCAGTCCAGTGCCATCACCCTAAACCACGACTAACCCAGTGCCACCACCCCAAAACCCCACCAGCCCAGTGCCAGCACCCTAAACCCCCATCAGTGCAGTGCCAGCACCCCAAAACACCACCAGTCCAGTGCCAGCACCATCCCAGTGCCAGCACCATCCCAATGCCACCAGCAGCCCTGAGCCATCATCATCCCAGTGCCAGCACCCCAAAACCCTGTCAGCCCAGTGGCAGCACCCCAAAACCTCATCAGTGCAGTGCCAGCACCCCAAAACACCACCAGTCCAGTGCCAGCACCATCCCAGTGCCAGCACCATCCCAATGCCACCAGCAGCCCTGAGCCATCATCATCCCAGTGCCAGCACCCCAAAACCCTGTCAGCCCAGTGGCAGCACCCCAAAACCTCATCAGTGCAGTGCCAGCACCCCAAAACACCACCAGTCCAGTGCCAGCACCATCCCAGTGCCAGCACCATCCCAATGCCACCAGCAGCCCTGAGCCATCATCATCCCAGTGCCAGCACCCCAAAACCCTGTCAGCCCAGTGGCAGCACCCCAAAACCTCATCAGTGCGGTGCCACCACCCCAAAACCCTGCCAGCCCAGTGCCACAGTTCAGTGCCACCACCAGTCCAGTGCCATCACCCTAAACCACGACTAACCCAGTGCCACCACCCCAAAACCCCACCAGCCCAGTGCCAGCACCCTAAACCCCCATCAGTGCAGTGCCAGCACCCCAAAACCCCACCAGCCCAGTGCCAGCACCCTAAACCCCCATCAGTGCAGTGCCAGCACCCCAAAACACCACCAGTCCAGTGCCAGCACCATCCCAGTGCCAGCACCATCCCAATGCCACCAGCAGCCCTGAGCCATCATCATCCCAGTGCCAGCACCCCAAAACCCTGTCAGCCCAGTGGCAGCACCCCAAAACCTCATCAGTGCAGTGCCAGCACCCCAAAAGCCTGCCAGCCCAGTGCCACCACCAGCAGCCCAGTGCCAGCACCCCAAAACCCTGTCAGCCCAGTGGCAGCACCCCAAAACCCCCTGAGCCATCTCCAGCAGCACACTGGCCACCAAAGCACCCCCAGGGGCAGTGCCAGGGCCTGTGCCAGCCCTGCCCCCCCAGATCCCCGTGCCACCCCCTCCCTGGGCCCCTCGTTAGCCCCGAGTCTCGTTAACGACCCAGCTCCCACCCCGTGACTGCACTTCTCCTTCCTCCTGCCACGCTGCCCTCGGGCCCATGTGACAATGGCTCTGTCCCCTCTGCTGTCCCCTGGCCAGCCCAGGGTGGGCAGCACCCACAGCGGGACCCCGAAACCCCCGAGCCACGCGGAATGTTCCAGAAGGTGGAGTTTGCCAGGGATGGAGACCCCCCCTGCTGCCCTGGGCACTGAGGGGGGGTCTGAGCTGCCCCCCAAAACACCAAAATAAAAAATCAGTATTAACCCAGACACCCAAATCCGGGCAAAAATAAAAAATTGGGAAGGATCCGATGGGGGAAAGGGTTGGGTTCAGTGAAAAGTGGGGACATGGGGACCCTGGGGAAACAGGGGGACCCTGGGGGGCCGGGACCCCGAAACCCCCGAGCCACGCGGAATGTTCCAGAAGGTGGAGTTTGCCAGGGATGGAGACCCCCCCTGCTGCCCTGGGCACTGAGGGGGGGTCTGAGCTGCCCCCCAAAACACCAAAATAAAAAATCAGTATTAACCCAGACACCCAAATCCGGGCAAAAATAAAAAATTGGGAAGGATCCGATGGGGCAAAGGGTTGGGTTGGGTTCAGTGAAAAGTGGGGACGTGGGGACCCTGGGGAAACAGGGGGACCCTGGGGGGCACTGAGACCCCTAAGGAGGGTACCAGGACCCTGGGGGGACACAGGGACTCTGGGGGACACTGAGACCCTAAGAGGACACTGAGACCCCCCCCGGGAGGACACCAGGACCCTGGGGGGCACTGAGACCCCCAGGAGGACACTGAGGGTCCTGGGAGGACGCTGAGACCCTAAAAGGACACCAAGACCCCCTGGGAGGACACTGAGACCCCCAGGAGGACACCAAGTTCATCAACACCAGGACTGGGGTTGGGATGGGCTGGATGTGGGGTGGGATGTGGGGCAGGATTTAGGGCAGGATCCAGGTTGGGATGTGGGGCTGGATTTGGGGCTGGATTTGGGCTGGGGTTTCAGTCAGGATGTGAGGATGAATTTGGGTTGGGATTTGGGGCTGGGTTTGTGTTGGGATGTGGGGCTGGATTTGGGATTGGATTTGGGGCTGGATTTTGGTCAGGATTTGGGGCTGGGTTTGTGTTGGGATGTGGGGCTGGATCTGCAGCTGGATTTGGGTTGGGATTTGACTCGGGATGTGAAATTGTGGCAAGATTTTGGTCAGGATTTGGGCTGAGTTTGGCTCGGGATTTCGGTCGGGATTCAGGTCAGGATTTGGGTTGGGTTTTGGTCAGGATTTGGGGCAGGATTCAGGTCGGGATGTGGGGCTGGATTCGGGTCTGGATTTGGGGCAGGATTTGGGTTGGGTTTGGGGCAGGATTTGGGTTGGGTTTTGGTCAGGATTTGGGTTGAGTTTGGCTCGGGATTTCGGTCGGGATTCAGGTCGGGATGTGGGGCTGAATTTGGGTTGGGTTTGGGGCAGGATTTGAGTCGGGATTTGGGGCTGCATTTGGGTTGGGATGGGCTGGCTTTGGCTCGGGATGTGGGGCTGGACTTTGGTCAGGATTTCACTCTGGATTTGGGGCAGGATTTTGGTCAGGATTCGGGTTGGGTTTGGAGCAGGATTTGGGTCTGGATTCAGGTCAGGATTTTGGTCTGGATTCGGGTCTGGATTTTGGTCAGGATTTGGGTTGGGTTTGGGGCAGGATTTGGGGCAGGATTCAGGTTGGGATGTGGGGCAGGATTTGGGTTGGGTTTGGGGCAGGATTCGGTCTGGATCCCGAACCCCCGCGGCACAGCCAGGGCGGGCTCCACGCCGCCCCCTCCCCGGGGCGCTCCCGGGCCCGCTGCTCCCGCCGCTCCCGCTGCTCCCGTTCCCCGCGGCCCGGGGGGAGCTGCCCGGGGCCATCCCCGCCGCGATCCCGGTGGAACGGGGCTGGGCCGGATAACGGGACCGGGCTGCCCAGGCCTCCCGGAGCCGTGGGGGTTGTGCCGGTAACCGGGCCTGAGGCAGGACTCGCAGTGACAGCCCCGTCCGGTGCGGTCCGGTCCGGTCCGGTGCGGTGCTGTCCCGCTGCCACCGGCGGCTGCGGCCCCGGGAGCGGCCCCGAGCCCGCGGCACCGGAGCCCGCGCGCAGCCCGGCCCCGGCAGGGCGGGAATGGAGCAGAGCCCCCGGAGCGTCCCCGTGTCCCCCCCGGTACCTCCCGGTGCCGGTGCCGGTGCCGCCGCCGCTTCCGGGCCCGCCGCCACCTCCGACCCCGGAAGGGAAACCCCAGAGCGAGGCTGCGCCGGCAGCGACCATCGCCGGGCGCGGGGGGGGGGGGGGGGCGGGACAGACCATTCACCGCGGGAGGGGGGGACAGAGGGGCTGGGAGAGACCATTCACTGCGGGAGGGGGGTTCAATGGGGCTGGGAGAGACCATTTCTCACGCGGGGGGATCAATAAAGCTGGGAAGGACCTTCCCAGTAGGGCCGGGAGAGACCATTCCAAAGGGGGGAATCCGTGGGGTGAGGGCAAAACCATCCCCGTGTGGAAGAGGGGTGTCTGTGGGGGTGGGCAAGGGAGAGACCATTCCCCTCATTGGGGGTGTGCCGGTGGGTCTGGGCGAGACCATTCTCCAGTGGAGGGGTGCCCGTGGGGCTGGGAGAGACCATTCCCCACATGGGGGGAGTCAGGGGGGGCGAGGGACAGCCCATTCCCTGCGGGAGAGGGGGGTGTTCATGGGGCACCCCCAGTCTGTGCCCCCCCAACAAAGCCCAGACCCCCCCCCCAAAAGGGAACCGGAGCCCCCAGCCCCCCAAAACACTCTGCAGCCAGTGTACAGCCGTTTATTGCGGGCGGGGGGCTCTGCTCGCGTGGGGCCGGGGGGCAGCAGCCAGGGGGGGCCCGGGCCCCGCCAGCGCCCGGGGGTCCCGTCCCCGGCCCCTGCGCCGGCAGCCGGGGGGGCACGAGGCCCGCGGGGAGGGGGCGGCCGTGGCCGGGGGTCCCGATGCGGCCTGGCGCGGCCCAGAGTGGCACAGGGCCCAGCGTGGCATGGCATGGCCCAGCGCGGCCCAGTACAGACCAGCACGGACCAGCGTGGCACAGGGCCCAGCATGGCACAGCACGGCCCAGTGCGGCACAGGGCACACGGGCCAGCATGGCACAGCATGGCCCAGCGCGGCCCAGTACAGACCAGCATGGACCAGCGTGGCACAGGGCCCAGCATGGCACAGCACGGCCCAGAGCGGCCCAGTATACACCAGTATAGACCAGCATGGACCAGCACAGGACACAGGGCCCAATATGGCACAGCACAGCCCAGTACGGCCCAACATAGACCAGCACGGCCCAGCATGAACCAGCATGGCCCAGCACAGCCCAGCATGGACCAGCATGGACCAGCATGGCCCAGCACAGCCCAGTACGGCCCAGCATGAACCAGCATGAACCAGGATGGCCCAGCACAGCCCAGTATGGACCAGCACGGACCAGCATGGCCCAGCATGGACCAGAATGGACCAGCATGGCCCAGCATGGCCCAGCATGGACCAGAATGGACCAGCATGGCCCAGTATGGACCAGTATGGACCAGTATGGACCAGCATGGACCAGAATGGCCCAGCACGGCCCAGCACGGACCAGCATGGCCCAGCACGGACCAGCATGGCCCAGTATGGACGAGCATGGACCAGCACGGCCCAGCATGAACCAGTATGGACCAGCATGGACCAGTATGGACCAGTATGGACCAGTATGGACGAGCATGGACCGGAACGGACCAGCATGGCACGGCACGGCCCAGCACGGCATGGCGCAGGGCCCTGGGCCCAGCATGGCGCAGCACACGGCGCACGGCAGGCGAAGCGCAGGCAGCGGGCGGCCGGGGGGTGCCGGGGGGGCCGGTGCCCGGTGCCCGGTGCCAGCTAACTGGTGCCCAGCGGGAAGGTGGGCGAGTGGCGCTCGGTGCCGATGGGGCGCGAGGGCACCTCGGCGAAGCCGACGTGTCGCCGCTCTGGGGACACAAACGGGGCGTCAGCTGTCCCTGTCTGCCGTAGTGGCACCGGGGACAGCGGGGGTGGCAGGGGGGTGACAGCCCACGTACCCCCGGTGCCACCGTCCTGCTCCTGGCCCGGCTCCTCCTCGTCACCCTCCGCGCCCTCGGGGTCCTCGGGGATCTCTGACACCGTGAGGGACTTCAGGTCCTCCTCGCGCTCGTCGATGCCGCCGGCGAAGGACACCTTCTGCCCACCTTGGGGACGCACAGAGTGAGGTGGCACAGCTGAGGCACGGGGGGGACGCAGCCCCGAGCCCTGGTGCCCGCCTGGCATCCCCGGGCGGGGGAGCGGCCACGTCCCCTCGCTGTCCCTGTGTCCCTGCCATCTCCGTCCTCCTGCCACCCCCCTATCCTTGTCCCCCGCCATCCCCATCCCTCCAGCATGCCATTCCTTCTCTGTCCCCATCCTCCTGCCATCCCTGTCCTCCATTGTGTCTGTCCTCCCGCCATCCCTCTGCCACCCCTGTCCCCATCCTCCTGCCACCCCTGTCCTCCTGCCATCACCTCCACTGTGTCTGTCCTCCTGCCATCCCTCTGCCACCCCTGTCCTGCTGTCCCCATCCTCCTGCTACCCACTTATCCTCGTCCCCCACCATCCCCATCCCTCCACCATGCCATCCCCTCGCTGTCCCCATCCTCCTGCCACCCCTATCCTCCACTCTGCCTGTCCTCCCGCCATCCTCTGCCATCCCTGTCCCCCCATCTGCCCCCACCCTCCTGCCATCCCTGTCCCCATCCTCCTGCCACCCCCTCATCCTTGTCCCCCATTATCCCCGTCCCTCCACCACGTTGTCCCTTTGCTGTCCCCATCCCTCTGCCATCCCTGTCCCCCTCACTGTCCCCTCGCCTCCTTCCACCTCCATCCTCCTGCCACCCCTGTCCCCCCGTGTCCCCTCCTCTCGGTCCCCACCCCGTTACCTTTCCTCTTGTGCGCCTTGAGCCCGGCGGGGAAGTAGCTGCGCTCGGCTCTGCCCTGGCTCCCCGGGGCTGCCCGGGCGGGGGTGGATGAGGCCGGGGCTCGGCGAGGCACGCTCGGCCCCGGGGCTCGGCCGGGGCTCGGCCGGGGCTCCGCCGGGGCCGGGCATCGCCGCGTCCGGCAGCGGCCGGGGGTCCGGCTGGCGTCACCGGGCCCCGCGGGGGACGGGGACACGGCCCGGCGGGGGAACGCGGTGGCGGCGAGGACAGCACCGGCAGCAGCCAGTCCGTGTGTCGCCTTTGTCCCCCAGGGGTTCAGGGGATGGCGGCTCCCGTCCCCGCTCCAGCAGCTTCGTCCCCATCCCTCCGTGTCCCCCAGGAATCCCCCCGTGTCCCCCAGACTCCCCCCGTGTCCCCCAAGCTCCCCTCATGTCCCCCAGAGTCCTCCCGTGTCCTCCAGGCTCTCCCCCGTGTCCTCCAGGCTCTCCCCGTGTCCCCCAAACTCCCTCCGTGTCCCCAGGCTCCCCTTGTGTCCCTCAGGCTGTCCCCGTGTCCCCCAGGCCCCGGCAATCCTGTCCCCGTGTGCCCTGGGCTCTGATCCCCGTGTTCCCACACCCCCGTGTCCCCTGTGTCTGTCCCCCCGTGTCCCCAGGCTCTGTGTCTGTCCCCCCGTGTCCCCACCTCTCCTTGTCCCCCGGGCTGTGGCATGTCCCCACCCCGCAGATTCCAGCAGCTCCACCGCCACACCCCTCCTGCTCCAGAATCCCCCTCCCCGCGTCCCTGTGTCCCCCAGGCTGTGACATCCACGGATGTCCCCGTGTCCCCTCACCAGCCTCCAGGGCGCTGTCGGGGTCGCAGCCGTCGTCGGGCTCCCCGTCGGAGCTGTCACCGCCGCCCATGCCGCTCTCCAGGTGGGACTGCACGATGCGCTGCACGGCTGGGGGGGACAGCGGTGTCACCGGGGTGTCACCGGTGTCACCGGGGTGTCCCCGCAGCCCCCGCGCTGTCCCCGCTGCCCCCGGGCCGTACCTTTGAGCGAGGGCGGGGTGTAGGCACACGGGTTGGTCCTCTTTGGTTTGAGCAGGCAGCCCTCGCCCGAGCGCTGCGGGGGGAGCGGTGTCGCCATGGGGGGGCCTGGTGTCCCCTGGGGGTCACCGCGGCCCCCGGAGAGCGGGGAGCCCCCCGGTGAGGGGGGGGCTGCGGTGGGGGTCTCACGATGGGGCTGGCACCCACCCCTCCCCAGCAGTGAGGACATTGCTGAGGGGGTGTGGGGTGGGGACGTGGGGTTGGGGACACCGTGGGGACCCTGCACTGGGGGTGGGGTATTGGGGACACCACCCTGAGGACCCCTCCGTGGGGATCCTGTGCTGGGGACCCCCATGATGGGGACACTGCCATGAGCACGTGGCACTGGGGTGCCCACAATGGGGACACTGCCATGAAGGTGTGGCCTTAGGGGCCCCATTATGGGGACACTGCCATGAGGATTTGGTATTGGGGACCCCATAATTATGGGGACACTGCCATGAGGATGTGGCACTGGGGTGCCCACAATGGGGACACTGCCATGAAGGTGTGGCATTAGGGTCCCCATTATGGGGACACTGCCATGAGGATGTGCCATTAGGGTCCCCACGATGGGGACACTGCCATGAGGATTTGGTATTGGGGACCCCATAATTATGGGGACACTGCCATGAGGATGTGGCACTGGGGTGCCCACAATGGGGACACTGCCATGAAGGTGTGGCATTAGGGTCCCCACGATGGGGACACTGCCATGAGGATTTGGTATTGGGGACCCCCATTATGGGGACACTGCCATGAGGATTTGGTATTGGGGACCCCCATTATGGGGACACTGCCATGAGGATTTGGTATTGGGGACCCCCATTATGGGGACACTGCCATGAGGACGTGGCACTGGGGTGCCCACAATGGGGACACTGCCATGAGGATGTGGCATTAGGGTCCCCATTATGGGGACACTGCCATGAGGATGTGGCATTGGGGACCCCACGATGGGGACACTGCCATGAAGATGTGGCATTAGGGTCCCCACAATGGGGACACTGCCATGAGGACATGGCATGGGGGTCCCCACGATGGGGACACTGCCTTGGGGACCTGTTTTTGGGCTGCCCCCGATGGTGACCCCGCTATGGAGAGCTCGCGTTTGGCACTCCGTGGGGATGTGGCACCGGGGACACCGTGCTGGGGACACCGTGGGGGTGACCCCGCGGCGGTCACGCGCTGGTTGCACAAACTCCAGAGCCTGGCTCGGCTCCATGTCCCCATCCCGCGTCCCCGTCCCGGCGCTGGCGCCGTGTGCCCGTGCCGGGAAGGAGCCGATAAGCTCCGGGCGCCGATAAACCCCCGGGGACACGGGACGGGGAGGGGGCTGTGCCGGGGGTCCCCGCGCCCGCTCACCTGGTAGGGCAGGTTCTCGTCCTCTGTGTCCGCGGCGCCGGGGAGAGAAGGGTGAGAGGGACACGGGCACCCGTGCCACCCTCGGACCCCCGTCCAGGGGTTACCCTGCCCGCCAGGGACCCGCCACCCTCTCCTTAAGTGATACCCCGTCCCCTCCCTGCCACCTTCTCCAGAAATCCCGTTCCACAGGTGACACATCCCGTTCCACAGGTGACACATCCCACTGCCCACCGCGTCCCCTCCCTGCCACCGTGTCCCGTCCCAGACACACTGACAGACACAATGTCCCCTTCCAGCCACCGTGACAGACACCGTGTCCCATCCCTGCCACCCTGACAGACACAATATCCCCTCCCTGCCACCGTGTCCCCTCCCTGCCACCGTGTCCCATCCCTGCCACCGTGTCCCATCCCAGACACACTGACAGACACAATATCCCCTCCCTGCCACCTTGTCCCATCCCTGCCACCATGACAGACACAATGTCCCCTCCCTGCCACCTTGTCCCATCCCTGCCACCATGACAGACACAATGTCCCCTCCCTGCCACCGTGTCCCCTCCCTGCCACCGTGTCCCATCCCTGCCACCGTGTCCTATCCCTGCCACCATGACAGACACAATATCCCCTCCCTGCCACCTTGTCCCATCCCGGCCACCATGACAGACACAATGTGCCCTCCCTGCCACCGCCTCCCGTCCCTGGACGGGCTGTCCCCGGCCCGGTGTCCCCTCCCGGCCCGGCTCACCTGGCGAGGAGTGTTCGGAGAGCTGGAAGAGCATGGCCGGCGTGGGCCTCCGCCGGCGGATCTGGGGCACAGCGGGGTGTCACCGGCTGGGGACGCCCCGGGTCCCCTGTCCCCTGCCCTGCGCCCCAGGGACACGTGTCTGCGCGTGTGTGAGCGTGTGGGTGCAGGGCCACCAGCCTCCCCGGCACGGGGGTCCCCGAGGTGTCCCCAGTGCCTCCCAGCCCCATGAGAGCCCCAGGCCAGCTCCTCCGGGGGGGCTCCGGGTCCGGCGTGTGCTGGGGATGTCCCCTCGGAGCAGGGACAACCGGCGGGGGGTGGCTGCAGCGACTCCCAGCGTGTCCTGTCCCCTTCATCCCATCCCTGTCCTCATCCTCTCTGTCTCATCCCTTCCCTGCTGTCCTGTGCCATCCCTGTCCCTGTCCCTGTCCCTCTCCCCCTGGCACAACTCCCCATGTGCGGGACCGCAGCTCCCACGGGGACCTCGGAGCTCTCTCGTCCTGTCCCCGTCCCTTTCTGTGTCCCCGCCGCGCTCCCGTCCGGTCTGTCCCTCCTGTCCCACGTCCTGCCCACTCCGGTCCCCCCTGTCCTGCTCTGCCGGTCCCATCCTCTCCCCCTGTCCCCTCTGTCCCTTCCGATCTCCCCTGGATCCATCCCCTCCCTCCCTCTGTCCCCTCCCACCTCCCCTTGTCCCATCCCATCTGTCCCAACGCATCCCCCCGCCGTCCCCTCTGTCCCTTCCATCCCCTGCCTTGTCCCCTCCGATCCCCCTTGTCCTGGTCTCCGGGTCCTCCTGTCCCCTCCGATCCCACTTGTCCCATCCCCTGCCTTGTCCCCTCTGTCCCCTCCGATCCCCCTTGTCCCATCCCCTCCCTCCTGTCCCACTCTGTCCCTGTCCTTCCCCACCTCCCTCCAGCACCCCGGGGCTCTCCCGTGTCCCCCTCTCGTGTCCCCCTCCCGTCCCACGCGCTCACTCCGGGGGTCCCTCCTTGCCCCGAGGTCACGGGCAGCGCTCTGCCCGGGCAGAGAGGAGAGACCCCCGGGCTGTCCCCTGTCCCCTGTCCCCTGTGCCCTGCCGCCGCTCCCCTCACCATCTCCACGGCGCGGGGGTCCAGGTTGCTGGGGGGGGCCGGCACGGAGAACTGGATCTTCTTGCGCTCCTTGGGGTCCATGGCCTCGGCCGGGAGTCACCGCAGCCCGGGGTGGGGAGGGGGGGTCCCTGGCACCGCTACCGAGCGGAGTTCCGTGGCAGCCGGGGCTCGGTACGGCGAGGAATGAGAGTGGCGGGAGGTGGGGAAGGCAGAGCCGGTGAGGAGGAGGAGGAGGAGGAGGAAGGAGAGGGAGGGAGGACACGTCTTCCTACCAGGAGCTGAATTATTCATCCCCCCTCCCCGGGCAGGGGGGCTGAGGCCGCGGTAATGAGTCCTTGGGGAGCCCCCCAGGGGGTTCAGCCAACCTGTGGGGGGTCCTTAACCCCTTCCCTGCCGCGGGGGACCCCGCCTGCAGTGGCCGGTTGCGCTGGGACAGGGACGGCTGGCTCCGTGTGTGTCCCCGTCCCTCATGCCTGAGTGTCCCCAGAGGTGGGGGGACAGGGGACAGAGGGACAGCCGCTCCCACCCCCGTGTGGGCAGCGGCAAAATTCACCCTCCACCCCCCCCGGCTACTCTGTGCCACACGGGACAGGGCCACCACTCTGAAGAGACGCACAGGGGACATCCGTGGGGGCATGGGACACCCAAAACATCCCACCCCCCCGTGTGCCGGGGGTCCCCCACCCCCAGCTGCAGCCCCCGGGGTGTCGCGGCTGCGGGGGCTGTGTCCTCACCCACGGCTGTGCCCACCTGCCCGGGCTCTTCCCCACTTTTTGGAGATTTTCCCCCCAGAAAATCCCAAGGGGGCACAAAGGGGAGGGGGGGGGGTTCATCCCGCAGGGCCACGAGCGGCACCAGAGCTGCACATTCCCGGCAGGGAGCGGGGGGACATCGGGGACACCCCTGGCCACAACCAGGGGGTCCCCACGCAGGGGGGGACAGCGGGGTGGGCAGCAGCTGCAGCAGCGGTGGCTCGTCCCCTCCTGGGATGTCCCGGGGCGGTGTCATGGAAGCCGCCTCCGAGCAGGAACGAGGAAGGGGGAGCTGGGAGCTGGCTCCGTCCCCCGGATCTCCCGGTGCTCCAACGGCTGCGGGTGGCCCTGGGCCAGCAGCCACCGCTCCAGCAAAATATTTACCCGGGTGGCACCGAGCCACGGAGCAGCCGCCCGCCCGGCACCACGCGGCAAAGCCCGGCAAAACACGGCACAGCCCCGCTCCGGGTGACAAATTGTGGCTCCGGGTGGCAAATTGTGGCTCTGGGTGGCAAAGGCCAGCTCTTGGTGACAAAGTCCAGCTCTGGGAGATAAATCTTGGATGTGCGTGACAAATCTTGGCTCTGTGTGACAAAGCCTGGCTCTGGGTGACAAAACCTGGCTGAGGGTGACAAACTTGTGGCTGTGGCACGGCGCAGTGGCCAGCCGGGTGGGGACAAATCAGAGCGCAGTGTCCTCATGGAGACCAAAATCTGGGGACAAGGTGAGGGTCCCTCTGCCACCCTGTCCCCTGGCGGGTGTCCCCATGCCAGGCTCCGAGCACCGTCCCCATCCCGGGACCGGAGTCGTTATGGCAACAGGTTCCCGGGCTCCATCCCGCTGCCGTTCCCGCTTCTCCCACCCACGAAGCCGCCGTGTGAGGGGGTGGCCGGGCCCCCTCCCCTCGCTGCGCTGCGGCAGCGCCGGCACCCGCAGCCCCCCGGGATCGGCACGCGCCGCCCGCGCCCGCGCCCACGCACCGTCACCCGCGGGTGGCACCTGCAGCGTGCCCGCAACACGGGGACACCTTCCCGGCACACGTGTGGCACACATGGCCCCGCGCTCGTCGCCGGGACAGCGCCGTGGGCACCCCGTGCCGTGCCCGTCCCCGTGCCCGTGCCGTGCCCGTGCCCGTGCCCGTGCCGCGGTGCCGCGGGGGCTGCAGCTCCGCGCAGCAGCGAATCCTCCCGCAGGGAGGGAGTAAAAATAGCAGCAGGTTGAGGGAAGGAGAGCTCGCCCCCCCCGGAGAGGAGCCTGAGCCCACCGCGGAGCCGTGGGGACGGGACGTGGCGCGGCGGCAGCGGGGCACAGGGTGTGGGGGGCACGGAGCGGCGTGGGGACAAGATGGGGACACAGCGTCGTGCTGGGGGGGCGCAGCAGGGATGGAGCGTGGTGGGGACAGGGTGTGCTGGGGATGGAGCGTGCTGGAGACAGGGTCCCGCGAGGATGAAGTGTCCCAAGGATGGAGCACGGTGGGGACAGGGTGTGCTGGGGGTGGAGCACCGTGCCCAGCGGGGTCCCATGGGGACGGAGAGCCCCAGGGGTGGGACATGGTGGGGACAGGGTGTGCTGGGGATGGAGCGTGGCTGGGGACGGAGCACAGTGAGGACAGGGTCCCGCGAGGATGAAGTGTCCCAAGGATGGAGCGTGGTGGGGACAGTGTCCTGTGAGGATGAATTGTCCCGAGGATGGAGCGTGGTGGGGACAGTGTCCCGTGAGAGCGAGGTGTCCCGAGGATGGAGCACGGTGGGGACAGTGTCCCGCGAGGATGAATTGTCCCGAGGATGGAGCGTGGTGGGGACAGGGTGTGCTGGGGACGGAGCACGGTGGGGACAGGGTCCCGCGAGGATGAAGTGTCCCAAGGATGGAGCGTGGTGGGGACAGTGTCCTGTGAGGATGAATTGTCCCGAGGATGGAGCACGGTGGGGACAGGATCCCGTGAGGATGAATTGTCCCGAGGATGGAGCACGGTGGGGACAGCGTGGCGGGGTACATCAGGGACAGGGCGCCACGGGGACAGGACCTTACTGGGCCACGACACCGTAGGGACGGGGCCTCGCGGGGACAGCGCCTCGCGGGGACGATCGCACGGTCCAAGGGTGAGTGCCGGGGGGGCGGGGCCTGTGCACGGAGGGGGCGTGGCCACAGGGTGGGCGGGGGTCCCCTCGGGGGTGCCGGGACCCCCCCTCAGAGCCCTTCACCCCGCTGTCCCCCTCCGTGTCCCCCGCTCGGCGCTGCGGGGTGTCCATCCCCCCGCTCCCGGGGGGAGCCCCCGAGGGGGGGCTGGCCCCCCGACCCCCCCCCCAGCACCCCAAGACCCCCCCCGGGGGTGCTGCCGCCCCCCAGGAGCTGCAGCGGGGGCGGAGGGTGGGGGCCGGAGCTCCCTTGGGTGCCGGGAGTGGGAACACGCGTGGGAGCGGAGCGCGCGTGGGAGCCCGAGGGGGCGGCGGGAGGGGAGGGGGGCGCAGGGGGCTTAACCCCTTCACTGCTGGGAACCCCCCCAAGCGACCACCGTGGGGGGCTGGAGAGGGGAAAGGGGCGTGGGAGGCACCTTCCCTAAATGGGGGGCTGGGGAAGGGGCACCCCCTGCCCTGCTCAGGGACACTGCGGGGTGCGATGGGGAAACTGAGGCAGGACGCGGGGGCTGCACCCCTGTAACCCACCGCCATCGGGGGGCTCTATCCCAGCGTGATGTGGGGTGGGCTGCAACCCCCTGTCCCCAAAGAGTGGGGGGCTCCAGCGCTGGCACGAGGAGGGGCCGTGTCCCAAATTCCCGGCGGGATGGGACGCTGTGTGCCCACCCCTGGCAGGACAGGGGTGGCCCTGTCCCCAGCTCATCGAGGAGGAGCCGCACCCCTGAGCCCCCCACGGGGCGGGCAGGGGGCTGCATCCCCCCGGGCCGTGCCCGGTCCTGGTGCCAGCCGTGCCCTCCCCGGCCCCGCGTGCCCATGCGGTGGCAGATGTCACCGCCGACGCTGGCACGGCCAGGCTGGCACGGCCACCCGGGGCTGGCACGGCCGCGTGGGCCGGGCAGCGGCTCAAGGGCTTTGGCACAGGGTGGCCGGAGCTGGAGCCGTCCTGGTTGGCAGCCACCGGGCACCGGGCACCGGGCCGTGCCAAGCCTCACCGCCACACCAGGGGTGGGACCGGGGGCTGGGGGCACTGGGGGGTCCTGGGGCAGCACCCCCGGGTGGGCTCCCGCCCAAGAAGGGGCTGTGCTGGTTTGGGGGGGGTCGTGCACGGTGCCAGGAGGGGCTGGACGGGTAAAACCTGGAGGGGGGAAATTTGTGGGGAACCCCGGGAGGATAAAGGGGGGATGTGGGGGGGACAAATCTGGGGGGCTCCAGGTGCAGTGGAGAGGCAGCCCTGGGGTCTCCTCAGCCTGGGGGACATCACGTGCCTCAGTTTACCCACCTGTAGCACCTCTCCAGCCCGAACCCCACCCACCCCCTTTCCCTGTGGAGGTGGGACCCCAAGGGATCCCCAAAACTCATCCTGGTGCCCCCACGGAGCCCTGCCAGGGTGGGCTGCAGGGGGGGCTGCCAGCCCTGCTCCCCCCCAGCCCACGGCTGACCCCCCCGGGGGGGTCCCGGCCGCCAGCACAGACCAGTTTGCTGCCTCCATTCCCAGAAGAAAGAATAAAGTTAAAACATCTGTTAATTTATAAACCAATTTAACCATGACTGGTTAATAAATAGCTTCCAGCTGGCACCCCCACCCCGCGCCGGGCAAGGGGGGCCAGGGGGGCACAGCCGGGCTTGCCACTCTCCCGCAGCCCCCCGGGGTCATTGTCACTTGTCCCCGGGGGGGTGTGGGGGTGTCCCCCGGGATTTAAGGGGCGCGGGCGGGGAGGGGGCACGGGGGGATCCCAGGGGGACGCAGGGGACAGCGCGGTGCCCACGGGGGGGCTCTGGTGGTGCAGGGGGGGCACGGTGAGGGGGGGGGTTCCTGCTGCCAGGGGGGCGTTTGGGGAGGGGAGGAGGAAGGAGGAGTCTGTGGATGTGTGTGTGCCAGGGATGGGCACGTGTGTGCTCATGTGTGTGCCAGGGCTGTGCACATCTGCACGTGCGTGCCAGGCGTGTTCATGCGTGTGCTCATGTGTGTGCCACCCGCAGTCCCCACACCACCCGTGTGGGGACACCCCACCTCTGCTGTCCCCACAGATCCGTGTCACATCCCCCCTGCACACCCATCCAGGACGGAACAGGGCCCGGCCCTGGCATTGGGGGGTCCCCACTGCTGCCCCCCACCCCCTCTGGGGGGGCTGTGGGTGGAGGCGCGAGGCCGCGAGCCCCCCGCCCCGACACGTGTCGCAATAGTAATGTAATTTGTCCGTTAACAATGGGCAGCTTGAGGTTTATATTTAATTACACCAACCTGAACTCACCCTTATTCATCAATAATGCATGGGTTTGTGTTTATCGCTGCTTAATTAATCTGTGCTTACGACAATTAAAGGCTCGCAAAATCCCCCAAGGTGGCAGCGGGGAGCGGCTGCGCCGGGCTGGCGCGAGCCTGGCGACGGTGCCAGCCTGGTGCTGGTGCCAGCGTGGTCACCCTGACAGCACGGGCACAGTGCTGGGGGGGTGGCAGTGCCAGAGCGGTCACGGTGCCAGTGTGGGCAGTGTGGTCACTGTGCTGGCATGTGGTCACTGTGCCAGTGGGGTCACAGTCACGATAGTGGCATGATCATGGTGCCAGGGTGGTGAGAGTGCCAGTGGGGTCAGTGTGGCAGTGTGGTCACCATGCTGGCATGTGGTACTGTGCCAGTGGGGTCACAGTCATGATAGTGGCATTATTATGGTGTCAGTGTGGTCACAGTGCCAGTGGGGTCAGTGTGGCAGTGTAGTCACCGTACTGGCATGTGGTGGCATGTGGCCACTGTGCCAGTGGGGTCACAGTCATGGTGCTGGCCTGATCATGGTGCCAGGGTGGACAATGCCA